AAAATAGAAAACAGTCATTTTAAATTGTAATAATATTTCACAATAGTGCTGTTTTTGATATACATCTATTTTTGATCAAATAAATGCAGTCTTGGTGAGCATAAGACTTCTTTCAAAAACGTCAAAAAATCTTGCCGATCCCAAACTCTTAATGGTAACATACATACAAACAAAGAAGAACATGAAACACAAATTACTTAATATTGCTTAAGCTCTTCAGTGGATTTCGAGTTATTACATTGTTTACTCTTACTGTTTGAGAAGCTTTTGTCAAAAGCCACTTTTATATCTAATTATGTAGGGCTGGAAAATCTCCCATCTGTCTTGGTTTTGATTTATATGCATCTCCAACTAACTCCTCAAGGCCCCCCTCTCTCGTATTACCTTATCGGCCCCAGACAGCAATGTGGATTAAACCAGAGGCCAGGGACCAGAGAGAGGAGGGTGATGGCAGGGTACATGTAGGTGACCTTGCGCCGGTCATGAGTCCAGTCCACCCATTTTTATCCCTCTGGAGCCCTTTTCCTGCCCTTGAATGGGAATACCCCTGGCGCCAAAACCTCTTTTGTATTAATGGATTGCTGAATGCATTAGTCCCTTTGGTGAAAGTCAAGTGTAATGAGGAAGGAATAATAACATTCATAATGATGAGCTGCTCCAGTAATTTCTGTCATCTTGCACACTTAATGGACTGACATGTTTAATGCAATATTACAGTGATTGTGCAATGACACACTGAGACAGTTTAGAGGGCTAACGGAAGGGATTAATTAGTTAAGTTAAGTCAATTAGTTAAGACACTAGTCGGGTAAGCGTTGGGTCGGTGTGAACTTCAGGAGAAAAATTTCTCCATCCACAAACTGCTTAATTTGGAAAAGCATGAATACAATTTGTGACTAATTGATGCTTAAGCTCTTCAGTGGATTTCGAGTTATTACATTGATTACTCTTACTGTTTGAGAAGCTTTTGTCAAAAGCCACTTTTATATCTAATTATGTAGGGCTGGAAAATCTCCCATCTGTCTTGGTTTTGATTTATATCATTCATACAGCCTAAAACGCCATAGATATTTGAGAAAAGAAATGACCCAGATATGTTGTACTAACAGTTTTTAATGGGATTTTATGGATGAACACTTCGCTCTGGTTGATGAGGGAGTGAAATTCAGTGCCACAAACATGCAATTCCGATTCATCCGATCTAATTTCATATAATAGAGACTAGAGCATAGCTGAGTGAATATTTTAACAAAGTGGAAATCCTGTCTCCAACGTGTGGAAGTGAAATAGGTTAATTCAGCGAGCTTATCAAAAATAATTAACCTTAAATTATTGTGGATATGAGGGACAAGTAGAATATTCAATTTTTTAAAAACAGAACCACCAACTCTGTGACTTCTTTCTCTTTGCCTTCCGTATTGTTAATGTATTGTCTGGAGGTGCGGCACAACTCGACTTGCATTAATCAATTATGAGCACACACCGTAATTGTATTTTACATCTTCACATTTCGCTCCTTGTTCCAGTAAATTTCAGTGTGCAGACATGGCAATTACTGCGACATTCCTGAACCTCAGCATTCACATCGCTAATGAGGACTCGGGGGAGAGAGAAAAAGACGAAGAGTGAGGACAGAAAGAGAGAGGCAGAGAAAGGCATCTGTGTGTGTGTGTGTGTGCAACTCAATCAGTTTTGCAAGGCTCATAATCAAGCATTCCATTCACACCAACTGAAGGTGTCATACTGCATGTGCCTCAGCTGTCACCACAGAGACGACTGCCACCTCCCCCCGGCCCTCCAACGAACCTCATCTCCTAGACAGTTACCCTGAAACACCTTCCTTAACATGCCACGTATAACAACTGTACTTTATATAGCAGGCTGTTTCTATAGCTTAAGCAGCCATGCATTAAGCAGGTCGATGACCAATTAATTAAACAAAGAAACTGATCACCCTGTACTAACCCTAAAATGCATAGCTCAATTTTCTCATCTTGAATAATATATACATATATATGTGGGTCAAAATGGTCCAGGATAAAATATGATACATTTACTTTATAGCACTGCTTGTTTTGCCATTGAAATGGTAATTTAATGATTTAGACTGTAGTTTGTGGGTTAGATTTTGCCTGGGGACCAAAGTGTCTTAATTAACATACTAAATATGTTGTTTCAAACCTGTAACTTTCATGTAACTGTGGAACACAAAATAATATATTTTAAAGGATGTTTTTACTTTTTTGGCCATACAATGAAATTCAGTGGAGTCCAAAACAACATCTGACCCCATTGAATTTCATTGTAAATAAATAAAATAACATATTTTGTGTTTCATGAAAAGAAAAGAAAAGTATTGTAAAAGTCACAGTATTGGCAAAAAAGGAAGGTGTTACAATACTGGATAAATCATAAAGACATACTTTTGTTCCTTTTTGCACATTTTGTATATACAGTATATACTATGGACTTTCTATATATTTTATAGATCATGTGGTCTAACAGTTTTCATATTATTTATCCATATATACTGTGTGTGTGTGTGTGTGTATACATATATATATAATAAATATTACTTGAATGCACTATAGAGAGTGCAGAATCCAAAAACTGAAAGAAACACTGGCCATTACTCTGTTCCTCCCTAGCCATAGGCTTACTGCAACACGTTGACCCATTTAAGTCCAGATACCTTGCTGTAGTGAGGAATAATATGATTTGTTCAAGGTCACCTCTTTCTTTGTCCTTCCTCGCAGATGGGTAGATGGTGAATATGTTGTTCTGGCACCAGTGGCGAGCCGTCTATATAAATGAAATTAACTCTGCTAGTCCCTCAGATTTAGTCTGCATTTAGCTGAACTCCTTCTCTCCCTCATTAACTTTGGGAAGAGTAGTGTGCAGCCTCATCAGAATGTGACAGCGCTCAATAGAGGAAATGTCAGATGCCGTCTGGTACTTTTCCATCAGGGGACAGTCAGGTTTAACACATCTGAGATGTATAAGGGCTAGATGTTCAGCTGATAGTACATTTCCCTAACCTTGTACTCACTGAGTTATTCATGGGGACAGTTGATTTATTTTCCCCCTAGTCTGAAGGATATTGGGATATTTGTCTTATGTGTAACTTTTTTATTTTATTTTATTTTATTTAATCCTATCCAATCCAATCTAAGATGGTGACCAGTTAATGATCAGCCTACTTTGTTACAAAACCATTTACTTTGTTACAAAACACTCCTAGCAGCTTAAGCTTGTCATTTTATATTGTAGAAATATATTATTGTGAAGAGATCTTTCTGGATGCAGCCACTTGGTGTATTGGTCTATATTAGTCTATTAAGATCTATTTTGTCTTGTTTTTTTTTTGTTTTGTTTTTTTCAAATTAAACTTCTAAAAAGGCACATAAATGTCTGTAATGGACTGTATTTTTTTTTTCTTGACGTGAAATGCTACCTCTTAGATGTGTGTAAATGCCAGTGGTGTGCGGAAGTCTAACTCTTTCCCACCCCCAGTCTCAACCACTCCTCATTGTTCCCTAGTGCCTCCCCTCTTCTCTCAGTTATTGATTCCTGTTGTCTGGTGCTGATGAGAATAGATCTGTTGTGTCCCATGGGGTCCCGCAGTGTCATCTGACTCAGTGGGATTTCTGTCAATTTGGGCTTTTTTTTGCAGGGGTGGGGATCACCGATCGATACAGGGGCTGGTGCACAGTCCACAGAGGGGTTGGTGTCCAAAACTAGGTCTTTCAGATGACCTCTGAGAGCAAAGTATGTTTTGTTGTTTTGTTTTGTCTGTTTTTACTTTGTTTTGATAGTTTTTTTCTTCTCTTTGTTCTGATTTGTTTTGATTGTTCCTTGTTTATTTGTTTTTGTTTTGTTTTGATGGTTTGATTTTCTTTGTCTTTTTTTTCTTGTTTGTCTTTTTTGATGGTTTAATTTTGTTTTGTTTTATGATTGTTCTGCTTTTATTTGTTTTGTTTTATTTTATTTATTTATTTTTTTGTTAGATTTTGCTTTGTTTTATTGTGTTGCTTTATTATTTTGCTATTTTTTCAATTATTAAAAAAAAAAACCTTGATCCTTTCATGTATAAGGCAAAGATTTTAGTTAAATGTTATACACACAAAAAAAAAAACAATATACGTTACATAGCTGCAGTCGCTTCATTGGCTGTTACATGTGATTGTGTGATTGCAAACATTGCCTGATCATCCTCCCTCCTGGGTGCGCAGCTGTCACATCCTGTTTGAAATTGAAAGAGTAATCTAAAATTGATGTGCAGGAAGCACATTAAAATCTACTGAACTACTTTTTACTGTTAAACATTTGAACAAAATGCATGCCATAACTATGCAAAGGGCTTCTATATGTACCCTTGTCCTTGGAGATTTTTATGCTGTAAATGTGCAGTAGGTCATTAAAGGAACACAATTGAGAATGTTGTCTTGTCCCTATGATAGTAGGGGCCCCACTAAGGTCTTATATGTTTTTGGGGACATTGGGGACATGCCCATCAAAATGTTGTCTTGGGCCCTTTTATCAATGGTCCTGTTTACGCATGCATGTACTGTATGCAGAATGTTAATGTGTAAATGGGTGGTTTTCACTGAGTGTTTGTTTACCGTGCAAGTCTGGCATGGAGTAGAGATGACAGCACTTGGTATCACATGCACAGTGTGAATTCTCTGTGTGGGTAGATTTATTTATGAGTGAGATGTGTTCATAATGTTCACACAATTTAACACAGCATCAAATGAGTGAGGTTTCACTTTGCTTGGCTTTTGTCTTGTCTTTTTGAAACTCATTCGTGTATTTCTTTGTGGATATTAGTTTTTAATTTGCTAGAGTTTTCCCTATCATACTCATACTCAAGTGTTTGCTGGTCCTCCGGGATCCTTATTTAGGATGTGAGAATTTAACAGGCCCTGTGTTTTGTTGTTCTCAGGTGAATACGTGGACAGGCAGCTGTGCCGGGATGCCATTCTTCCCATGCCTATGCTGTGTGAGGTGCCCTGCCCCAAAGACTGTGTGCTCAGTCCCTGGACTTCATGGTCTCTGTGCTCCAATACCTGCTCAGGGAAGAACTCAGAGGGCAAGCAGACCAGATCACGCTCCATTCTGGCCTACAACGCTGGGGACGGTAGGGTTTTTACTAATATCAAACCACTCTTATACTCCTTTTCCACCAAAATGGTGTGGATTGAGCTGGTGTTTGGGCAGAGGATCTTCAAACATCTCTCAGACCTGGATTTCCACTGAGCTGAACAATTATGTACCTTACTATGTTGCTGCATAGCCTGCTCACAAACAAACTGTATAAAGTCTTGTTTATTAATCTTATGAGTATCAAAGACCTTTTGTAACATCTGAAGCAATTTAATTACGCTTTTTATATATATATATATATATATATATATGACTGGCTCCTTTTGTATTAACAGTGAGAAGTTAAATTGAATAAATGATAATAATATTCATAATTCATAATATTCCATTCAAAAACATATAATATTCATCAATAATATATTATTACGGACAGTGAAAATAAAGTGTCTGGAGTTCATGAGTCTGAGAACATATACTATCATTCAAAACTGTGGGGTTAGTATGAGTTTTTTAATGGTTTTTTTTGTATATGTCTTATTCTAATATGCAGATTTTATGCTCAAGAAACATTTTTATTATTAATCTTAAAAACATTGTTGAAAACAATGTTTCTTTAATGAATACATAGTTCAGAAGAACAGCATTTATTTGAAATATCTGGAGTTTTACTGAGAATATGTTTAACATTCAAAGTAATTATATTCAGAGATTTTATAAGCAGGTAGCAGGAACTGCAGTCATTTTTTTCAGCCTGAATCCAAAGTTTTGTTTTTTTTGTGGTTCAGTAAGGCATTGCATTACTTGATACCCTGTGTGTATCATGTGCTTTCTTTTTCTCAGAGCATCCTGCTGCTAAAAGTATTTAGCATTATAGCCCTTAATCCAAAACTAGACTGTTTTGCTAGGGTCTCTCCAAAGATTCCTGTTTTTTTTTGTTTTTTAGATATAATCAGATATAATCAGTTTTTTAGTTGCCACCTTTTTTCTGCTTATGTGGATTTGTATGTTAGACTTGATGTTCAAGTAGACATGAGCAGATTGCCGAACATCTTACCGCACTTGCCCCCCTTATGTTAGATTAACATTCTTCCATGTGCAGATTTGTAAAAAAAAAAAAAAAAATCACAAGGTAATGAAGGTCTCTGAGCGTTAAGTGATTCAAACCTCAGGTGAGCTCAGGCTGTAAGTGTGTATCTGATGTGTAATAGACTGTTGGATAAGTGGTTGCTTTGGGCTAAAACCTCTTCCTTCCCTCCACCGCTCACCCACCAGAAATCCATTTCCACAAATATGCAGCTTGAGGGAACAGGATTTGCACTGCTGACTGAGAGCAAATCGGCTTGGTTTGCTTTAACATCACATCAATTTACGGTCACGCTAGTGCCAGAATCAAAGGTAGTATGTTCAGTACATCTGTGGAGTGCGGTTGCGTCATATATTACAGTTTTAGCGCCAATGTGTGACCACATATGCGCAATGATGCTTTCTGCCCTGTGGCAAATCGTGCTACGTGCTGCTGTGCTCAGATTATTAGCCTTCAAACGATTCAGGAGACGGTGGACCAAATTGATGACAAGCGTCTGAGAAAGCAGGTGTGTGCTGACAGTAGCACGAAGTTTAGTAGATCATGTTCTGCTTGCCATCTGCCTCTGTGTGAGGTGATGGAGACAATAGCATGAAGCATTGGTCATTTGCAATCCCACTCCAATTGCCTCATTTTAGTCTATTGAGTTTGTAGGCAGTGAGGGCCTCCTAGAACAGAGGCTTTCAAACTGTGGTCACATAATGAAAATTTAAAAGGGAGGGGGGAGAAGATTTGACAAAACTTTAATTCCGTTCATGTTATTAATATTAATTTAAGATGTCTGATGTAAATGTAACAAATTTACTGAATTTGATATTATTTCAACTAGTTTTTTTAAAGACAATATGAAATTAATCATGATTATTTTACTCTGTTTTGGAGCAATATTTACTGTGGAAAGTCCATTACTAATTAATTTGCATTAAAATTCAAATGTTTTTACGTTATTTATAAGTTGTTTTTATATATCCACAAACATATTAAGCAGTACAACTATTTTAAACATTGATAATAATAATACGTTTCTTGAGAACCATTAGGATGTTTTCTGAAGGATCATGTGACACTGAAGACTGGAGTACTGATTGCTGAAAATGCAGCTTTGCATCACAGGAATAAATTACATTTTTAATATATTAAGATAGAAAACAGGTATTTTCAATTCTAATAATATTTCACAATATTAATTGGTGTGAGTAAGATACTTCTTTCAAAAGCATAAAAATCTCAATCTAACCAACCCCAAGATTTTGAATAATAGTTTACCTCTAATATGGGAAATAATTAAATGGTTAAGTGGCTAAAGCTGCTTTATATTCCTTATATTAATTCCTTTAAATTCCTTGTCTGTCTAATATAAATGTATGTAATTTACAAAAAATCTTATTTGTGATTTTATTGCTGCAAATTTGATCAGTTATAGCTTTTGATGGTTGCAACCTCTACTTGCATAATGATGTTGAATCAAACTTTGGATTTTAAAATTTAGTCTCATAAGACGTATTCTTGGGCAGGTTGTGATGTAGTAACATAACTTGCAATTACATCATCATTCAATTCTCAAGTCCTTCATTGCGACTGTTCGGTTTACAGATCTCCAGACTGAGCACCAGCATCATTTCAGTGGTAAACCAGTCAACTGATCCTTGTTCAGAGCCCTGGAAAACTTCTTTCACTATTGTCATCCCAGGGTATATAAAAAGGATACAATCTTAATGGATTGTTAACATATTTATGATTTTACATTTTAATGCATGGTCCGATATGTAACACATATTTGCTCTTTCTAAGTGGAGGGCTTAACGATTTCAAATACACCGGTTCTTGAGGATGTCATGCAGACATCACTATGTCCTACATGAAGAGAAGATTAACACTAAATGTGGATGTCGGGAGCCGCAGTATGAACTGCAGTTCTTAATGGTGCAAAGATGGACCAAGAACATGCAATTACTCTGAGCTGTGCACGGACTTACTTTTGTAATTGTACAAAGGATTAGGAGTCACAGGTCAATAAATAACCGGAGGGAGTGATAATCCCCATTTGAAACAATGTGCAGATTCTGGTGCAGCTTTTTGAAGCTCTGCTAATGCATTGCCCTGGCATGCCCTGAACCACTATGAGATGCTTTAGAAGTCAAATAACCCTCCTTTTATAACTGTAAATAATTTTTTCTCGCTTTCAGGGCCATTACTGTGGCTGTGCTGCTCACGGCAAGTGTTTTTTTAATGGTTCTCACATGTCTAATGAAGTGTGTGATAATAGTCAACTATAAATATATATATTGGGGGTGTGGGGGAGGAGTTTGGGGAACTTATTTGAATGAATGTGTATGGTCTTATTTGAATCCGTATCATTCGTCAAACTCACATTGTGCAGTATTTCTAGATGTTATACAGTATGTAGGCTACTTCTCTACAATTATATTAAGGTAGTCATTTAAAATAATAATTCAGCCAAAAATGAACATTTGCAGAAAGTGTATTCACCCTAAAGGGATAGTTCACCTTCAGTTGCTGGTCCCCATTGACTTCCATAGTATGGGAAACAGCAACTGAAGGTGAACTATCCCTTAAGGCCATTTAAGATGTAAAAGATTTAGTTTCTTCATCAAAACAGATCTGGAGAAATTTGGCGTTAAATCACTTGCTCACCAATCCTCTGCAGTAAATGGGTGCCGTCAGAACAAGAGTCTAAACAGCTGATAAAAACATAACAATAATACCACAAGTAATCCACACATATCCAGTCTATCAATTAATGTCTTGTGAAGTGAAAAGCTGCATGTTTGTAAGAAACAATTCCATCAAGACATTTTTAACTTTAAAGGGGTCATATGATGCGATTTCAATTTTTCCATTACTATAAATTAGATGCTGAAGGACTGTGTGCTTCATTGCTACAAAGGATGAGTCAATTATTCATTATTTTTGGTGCTCTTGAACAAGGAGCACTGCTTGATACATGGTTTGTCCATTTTTCTCATTCACCGGTTTACCATTTTCTCATTGATCGGTGTGCAGTTGTTAATGTGCACCATTGAGATAATGGCTGACCACTCCATGGGGGACTCTGGTGCTTTACGTGTGACTGCAGGTTGTAATGAAAACCAAGCAAAGTAAATCTAGGAGAAGCTCTTATTCTAACAGTCATGGTTATAAAATAATGTTCTTTTTAGCAACATCATATGACCCCTTTAAACAGTTGTTTGCGGCTACAAAACAAGTCCTGTATCCATAATATTGCTTTCTCCACTGAAAAAGTTATCTAATCTGAATCAACAGAGAAACATGCCCAAATCAAACAATGCTTACAAGTGAAAACTGTCCAAACAGTTCTAATCAAATTTGTTAGTAGATTTTAATGTGAGAGAACAACAGGGGATGGACTTTTTCACTGGAGAAGACATTATTATGAATCATGGACTCATAATTTGGCCAGAAGTGACCGTTTAAAGTTAAAACATGGATTTATTTTTATTTTTTTCATATAAACACACAGTTTGGACACACTTCCAGATGGACTGGAGTTGTGTGGATACTTGTGGATTATTGTAAGGTTTTATCAGCTGTTTGAACTGTCATTCTGAGAAGATTTTCAGCAAATTTTCATTTTTAAAGGAACCATTGCTTCAAAATGCTTGATATAAAAATACTTGGTATTAGGTAGTTTAGTTAAGTAATAAGGTACTAATAATACAACTGATATCAATCATATCTCTAATATAGTCAACATTTTCATTGTATGGAAACCCATTTCCACCATAAGAAAAGAATCATGCATAAGAAGTTGGAATTATGACATAGAAAGTTGAAATTATGACTTATGAAATTACGTCCAGTCTTCAGTGTCACATGATCCTTCAGAAATCATTAATATGCTGATTTGCTGCTCAAATAATATTGCTTATTATTATCAATGTTGTGCTGCTTAATATTTATGTGAAAACAACAATAAATTTTTTGATTAATAGAAACTTCAAAATAAAACCTTTGATATAAAAATATTTTGGAAAATTATAATTGTCTTTACTGTCATTTGATCAATTTAATGCATCCTTGATAAATACAATTATTAATTAAAATAATTAAAAAATATATACTGACCCCAAACATTTGACTGGTAGCATACATACATTTTAATTAATTAGTATTTTTTATTTACATCTTTTTATATATATTATCAGCATAGCAAGTTAAGTGAGATAATATTAAATAATAAAAAAATATATTTTCAGAATGTCTTAGTATTTGGTTTGTTTCCCTTTAGCTTTAAGCTTCATGAAAATCTGAGCATCTGTACATGCTGTTTTACTGTTTTTATATGCAGGTGTCCAGAGAGTCTGCGTCCAGATACTGTAAGACCATGTCTTTTGCCCTGCAAGAGAGACTGCATTGTCACTCCGTACAGTGATTGGACACCCTGCCCTTCCACCTGCCAGACAGGTACTTTTTAATATACACTTATGGCCGGGACACACCAAGCCGAATTCAAAGAACTAGCGGCGACGAAAGCCGACGGTGTTGTCGCCTCACGTCTGCAGCGTCGGACCAAAAAGCTGAACTCGAACAGACCGCACAGACTACAGCCGACGGCAAACTAACACGTGCGTTCTGCGCATGCGTGAGAGGAATTAACTGTCCATATCAGCAGCTATCAATAGTATATATTCGTCATTCAAAAGGAGAAACCGAAACAAAGATATACGAGATAAATGCAGATATACGAAACGTAAACAAAGCAGCGCTTGCTTACCATTTTGAATATCAGTACCAATGATAACTTTAATAATTTTAAGCGGCTCATGTTGTTATGAAAACATTTGTGTATTAGAATGATTGGGGAAAATCACGTAACATTTAAACAGCCTTCTGTCTGTACCGCCTTCATTTACCTGCTTGTTTTCATCACTTTCGCTTTAATTCTTGGGCACTGACTCGTTTGCTAAACTGAACATCCAATCAGAGCTCTCACTCACGCCGACGGTCCCGACGGCCCCGGCCGACGCCGATTCAACATGTTGAATCGGGCAAACTGCCACCGACGTGAGCCCGACGATAGCCGACGAGTGGAACACACCAAACAAACTAGCCCGACCATCGCTCGTCGTCGGCCCGACGTTGGCCAACGGCCGACCGTCGGCTTGGTGTGTCCCGGCATTTACATATACTGTAAAACTTCTGATGCATCTCTTGAACTAAAGTAAAATCGTTTTTTAAAAAAACGTTTCTCAAAGGCTGAAGTTTTATTGACATAAATACATAAAATTTATTAATATTGGTCACTTTCAGCATTCTATCAGAAGTGTTTAGAAACAGTTTATTTGTTCCCACAATTGCTCTTTATCAACACTATAATGAGGTTTTGTTGCTTGGCAACTCTGCCTATAGGAACCAGAACAAATATTATAAGAAGCTGCCAATATCTGAGCCATTTGTTATATGAAGCAAATAAGCATTGCATTTCCTGTTAAAACAATTTTTCTCAGTGAATATCACACTCCAGTGTGTTTTATATAAAATATTGACTTATTCAAGTTTCAAGTTTACTTTATTTAAATAGCACATTTAAAACAGCCACAAGACTGACCAAAGTGCTTCACAGTAAGAAACATCATCATAAAATTTAGTAATACAAAAACTGCAACCAGAAAATTAAAACACAGATAGGAAATACAATAGGCAAGAAAATAATCCTAATAGGCCAATGAAAACAAATGGGTTTTTAAAAGAGACTTAAAAATAGACAGGCTAGGGCTGTTCTGATCTCCACTGGCAAATCATTCCAAAGACGAGGCCCAATTACTGAGAAGGCACGGTCACCTCTACGCTTGAGTCTGGTATGCGGAATTAAAAGAAGGTTCTGGTCGCAAGATCTTAGGCTTCTCGAGGGGATATACCGATACAGCAATTCAGATAAATAAACAGGTGCTTGATTGTGCAGAGATTTAAAAACAAATAATACGATTTTAAAATGTATTCTAAATTGAACAGGCAACCAATGAAGGGCCTTCAAGAGCGGAGTGACTTGGTCCCTTTTTTTCTTTTTTAAAAGGAATCTAGAGGCAGCGTTCTGGAGCAATTGAAGACGGGCAATTTGAGTTTTGGATATGCCACAGTATAAAGAGTTACAATAATCGAAACGCGATGTAATAAAAGCATGAACTGCCATCTCCAAAGTCTTGTCAGTGAGAAAGTGTTTAATTTTTGCAAGTGTACGGTGCTGATGAAAACTGGACCCAATGACAGTGGAAATTTGCTTATCGAATTTTAGCGAGTCATCTAAAAGAACACCCAGATTCCGTACCTGCGAGGACCTAAAAGCCGATAAAGGTCCTAGGTCAAGATTAAGGGCTTTCATATTTTCTGATGGACCGAAAACGATCACCTCAGTTTTCTCTTAATTTAAAGATAAAAAATTTTGAGAGCGCCAGGATTTAACCTCGTCTAAGCAAGATGAGAGAGCAGTCATCGCCAATGGATCATTCTTCCTAAATGGTAAATAGATTTGCGTGTCGTCGGCATAAAAATGAAACGACACCCCGTGTTTTCTAAAAATGGAGCCCAGAGGTAGCATATACAACGAAAATAAAGTGGGGGCCAAAATTGAGCCTTGCGGAAGACCACAGGGGAGAGAAACCGTGGAAGAGAAAAATTCTCCTAGCCTCACCACATATTTCCTGTCAGATAAAAATGACTGGAACCACTTTAGAACTGTGCCAGAGAGACCCACCCAAGATTCTAGTCTATTGATTAATATAGAATGATTAATGGTGTCAAAAGCAGCTGATAAATCTAAAAGAACGAGGACCACAGAGTCACACGTATCAGTGGCTAAAAAGATGTCGTTTAACACTCTCAAAAGGGCAGATTCAGTGCTGTGGGCAGCCTTGAAACCAGATTGAAAGTGCTCAAACAGACTACAGCAAGAAAAGATTGAAGCTGGAAAAACACAATCTTTTCCAAAACCTTGGAGATAAATGGTAAAACAGAGATGGGGTGATAATTTTTTTAAACCGACAGGTCAAGTGAAGGTTTCTTGAGGAGAGGTGTGACAGTGGCCACTTTCAGATGAGCAGGAACCACACCAGTTGAAAGACACTTATTAAAAAAGGACACTAGGCCCGGTCCAACCGAATCAACAATTTGTTTTAAAAATCTAGGGTGGATAACATCATATGAAGAAGAGGATGGTTTCAGCTTGGCAATAGTGTCTTTGAGTGACTGAAGGGAAACAGGTTCAAAAACATCCCAAGATGCAGACAACGGCGGGGGGAGAGGCAACTCAATAGGGGAAGTATAAGCTACCAGTCCTAGTTTAACTACTTTATCCTTAAAAAACCTTGAGAAGCTTTCACAAAGAGTGACAGAGGCAACAGACATAGTATTGACCAGGGGATCAACAACAGAATTGATAACAGAAAACAAGACCTTGGATCTGGACTGATTATGTAGAATCAAATTAGAAAAATAAGTCGCCTTAGCCGATTTGGCGGCTCTCTGATAAGCCAATAAACTATCTTTGAACAAATGTAATGAGATGTGTAAATTGTCCTTTTTCCACTTACGTTCGGCCTTTCTACATGTTTGCCTTAGCAGCCGAGTTTCAGCAGTATGCCACAATTCAGATTTAGGTTTGTGCTTGAGAGGCTTTAAAGGAGCGGTTCATTCAAACATTCATTACATTAAGCCAAGCACTATTTAACAGACTCAGATGTTCATCCGCATCCAAGTCCGATAACGGAGAGTCCAGGAGTAAATGAGAACAGGACTTAGCAAAGCATTGACTAAAATTTACACTGAACTGAGGAGAATAAACCCGAGACAGAGATGGCGCTTTAGTAGAGACATGAGAAAGACTAGGAAGAGACATGGAAAATAAAATAGGCTTGTGATCAGAGAGCATATAATCAGAAACCGTAATATCAGTAAGATCAACCCCATAAGAAAGAACAAGGTCCAGAGTATGACCGTGGATATGAGTGGGGCTTTTAACCCACTGTATCAGGTTAAAAGCATCAATTATATTAAGGAATTCCCTCTACAAAGGATTTGACTGACGAATTCCCTCTACAAAGGATTTGACTGACAGCAAACATGAATGTTAAAATCGCCCACCAATAAAAAACGATCAAATTTATTGACAATGTTACCAATAAAGTCAGTGAATTGCTGTAGAAAATCCTTAACTGAATGTGGAGGACGGTAGATCACCCCTAAGCAGACAGGACCGTTCCAGTCAAGATGGAGAAGTTGAGCTTCAAAACTAGTATAAATAATCCACAGGGACAGAGCGACATTGCGCACGATGAGAGTTTTTCATAACAGTCACTAACCCACCCCCTCGTCCATTTTGGCGAGGTGAGTTAAAAAATGTGCAGTCAACCGGGACCAATTCAGAGAAAGGGGTAAAATCGCCATCCTTAATCCATGATTCAGTTATAAACATAAAATCCAAATTGTGTGAAGAGAAGAAGTCATTCAGCAGAAAAGTCTTGTTCACCACTGAACGAGCGTTGATTAAAACCATATTGGGTGGAGGGACAGCGCCGGGGGAGAGTGACACTCTGCACAGCGGACGCAGCATACCAGGAGCCGCTCCAGTTCTCCGAAGATAGCGGCCGATCCGAGGAAGGCCAACCCGAGAGACGGAGGGCGGGAACAGGGGAAGAACAGGTCGAAGCCACCGGTGAGTCTGATCCAAGAGACGCCAGACCACGGAGCCGCCATAGAGCGGCTCGAGAAAAGGGCTTGAAATACAGCCCGCATGTAGACGGGCTTTCAGCTTGATCGCACGTCCTCCCCGAGACCCGCGCTTTCTCCTGCGCTTCCTCCGTGGGTTGTTAAGGGGCCAGCAGCGAATGCACTCCGGAATGTCCGTTGTAAAACGTCCATGCGGTTTATTAAAAACACACTCCACATCCGACTTGTGAAAGCTAAAAAATGTTGATCGAATGTCCAAGAGAGTCTGGCGATCATATTAAAAAACCTTGAGAAGCTTTCACAAAGAGCGACAGAGGCAACAGACATAGTATTGATAGGGGGATTGACAACAGAATTTATAACAGAAAACAAGACCTTGGGTCTGGACTGATTATGTTGAATCAAATTAGAAAAATAGGTCGCCTTAGCCGATTTGGCGGCTCTCTGATAAGCCAATAAACTATCTTTGAACAACTGTAATGAAATGTGTAAATTGTCCTTTTTCCACTTACGTTCGGCCTTTCTACATGTTTGCCTTAGCAGCCGAGTTTCAGCAGTATGCCACAATTCAGATTTAGGTTTGTGCTTGAGAGGCTTTAACGGAGCAGTCACATTCATTACATTAAGCCAAGCACTGTTTAACAGACTCAGATGTTCTTCCGCATCCAAGTCCGATAAGGGAGAGTCCAGAAGTAAATGAGAACAAGACTTTGCAAAGGATTGATTAAAATTTACACTGAACTGAGGAGAATAAACCCGAGACAGAGATATTACTTTAGTAGAGACACGAGAAAGACTCGGAAGAGACATGGAAAATAAAATAGGCTTGTGATCAGAGAGCATATAATCAGAAACTGTAACATCAGTAAGATCAACCCCATAAGAAAGAACAAGGTCCAGAGTGATATGAGTGATATGAGTGGGGCTTTTAACCCACTGTATCAGGTTAAAAGCATCAATTATATTAAGAAATAAAGGATTTGCTAAGCAGACAGGACCGTTCCAGTCAAGATGGAGAAGTTGAGCTTCAAAACTAGTATAAATAATCCACAGGGACAGAGCGACATTGCGCACGATGAGAGTTTTTCATAACAGTCACTAACCCACCCCCTCGTCCATTTTGGCGAGGTGAGTTAAAAAATGTGCAGTCAACCGGGACCAATTCAGAGAAAGGGGTAAAATCGCCATCCTTAATCCATGATTCAGTTATAAACATAAAATCCAAATTGTGTGAAGAGAAGAAGTCATTCAGCAGAAAAGTCTTGTTCACCACTGAACGAGCGTTGATTAAAACCATATTGGGTGGAGGGACAGCGCCGGGGGAGAGTGACACTCTGCACAGCGGATGCAGCATACCAGGAGCCGCTCCAGTTCTCCGGAGATAGCGGCCGATCCGAGGAAGGCCAACCCAAGGGACGGAGGGCGGGAACAGGGGAAGAACAGGTCAAAGCCACCGGTGAGCCTGATCCAAGAGAGTGACACTCTGCACAGCGGACGCAGCATACCAGGAGCCGCTCCAGTTCTCCGAAGATAGCGGCCGATCCGAGGAAGGCCAACCCGAGAGACGGAGGGCGGGAACAGGGGAAGAACAGGTCGAAGCCACCGGTGAGTCTGATCCAAGAGACGCCAGACCACGGAGCCGCCATAGAGCGGCTCGAGAAAAGGGCTTGAAATACAGCCCGCATGTAGACGGGCTTTCAGCTTGATCGCACGTCCTCCCCGAGACCCGCGCTTTCTCCTGCGCTTCCTCCGTGGGTTGTTAAGGGGCTAGCGGCGAATGCACTCTGTTGAATGTCTGTTGTAAAACGTTTGTTAAAAACACTCCACATCCGACTTGTGAAAGCTAAAAAATGTTGATCGAATGTCCAAAAGAGTCTGGCGATCATAAACCACAAGGGCGCCACAGTTTGAATACAAAACAAGCAACCAGACTATCAAATAAGAGAGCAGCAGACGGCATGCCGACACTGGCGCCATCTTTCCATCAAGATCATCAATTTTATTAAAGACCATCTGCTTGACAGTTTCTTCTTCACTGAACACTGAGCAGATTTTCACTTCCCTCGTTGATTTTCTTCTTTGTAGTACTTGTTACATTTACAGTAAATATTTTATGTATGTGATTTTTACTAACTTTTACATTTTTACAAAGAGAACCGATCTCAAAGTTTGTGCTTTGCGGAAGAACAGAGTGAAAACGCTATAAAAAGAACAAATAATCAGATGCACATATTAATAGATGCCTTCATCCTGTGGAGAACTAAACTGAGTTTATTATAAATAAAAGGCTAAGAATTGTGGCCTTATTATCATTATTTCATTTCTCAATTGTACTTAATGTTGAAGTCATTAAACCACAAAGCAGATGGTAGTTGTGATGTAATGCCATTTTCAGAGCTATAAAGTGCTTTGGATTGTCTGAAAACCTTGTTAAATGCAGCACAGTCATACAGATACTTGTGTACTGATTAGATTTGTGAGTAGGAATGACGTTTTTGCATTGCAAGATTTTGCAAGATTTTCTATATTTATTCATGACAGTTTCATATTTTCTGTCCATCCTCTTGTGTATATCCAGGTGGTGCTGTCAAAAAGAAGCAATCAAGGAAGCGCATTATCATTCAGCTTCCAGTTAACGGGGGCCAAGACTGTCCAGAAGTGCTCTTCCAGGAGAAGGAATGTGATGCCTCAGTTGTTTGTTCAGGCTACAGGTGAACATAATACCTCTTTGAAATTATAGTACAAAAATTTCATAAAATCAGTCTACACTGAAATTATATAAATTGTAAATGTAATATAATAATAAATGTAATAAAATAGTAAAATAAAAATATATTAAATGTGTGTGTGATATCTATATATCTATACACTATATATACAATTTTCTGTATACATAATAAATTATTATATAGAGCGAGAGAGAGAGGCCAGTGTTACATATGACCCTGGACCACAAAACCAGTCTTAAGTCGCTGGGGAATGATAGATTTTTCTTTTAGGCTAAAAATCATTGGGATATTAAGTAAAGATCATGTTCCATGAAGATATTTTGTAAATTTCCTACTGTAAATATATTAAAACTTCATTTTTGATTGGTAATATGCATTGCTAAGAACTTAATTTGGTCAATTTTAAAGGTGATTTTCTCAATATTTTGATTTTTTTGCACCCTCAGATTCCAGATTTTCAAATATTTCCAAATATTGTCCTATCCTAACAAACAATACATCAATGGAAAGCTTATTTATTCAGCTTTCAGATGATGTATAAATCTCAATTTCGAAAAATTTACCCTTATGACTGGTTTTGTGGTCCAGGGTCATATATATATATACAAATTGCTTTTGCACAATAGGTGGAAAACCCACAAGTGGCGCAGGTGTCAGCTTGTGCCCTGGGCCATTCGTCAGGACAGTCCTGGAGCACAAGAGACATGTGGACCAGGACTACAGGCTAGAGGTACAGAAAAACCCTCAACATCAACCTAAAATGGCTACTAAGGTGCAACATCTTTTAATGTCAATAAAATTTTGTAGGTGCGTGTAGCAATGTTTCACATTGAAGCTGGGGTGATGGGTAAGCGTGTGGTAAACGCATGAGATTGGTAGTAATTTGATCTGTGACTGAGTGTTACCATCAAAGGGTTGTGTAAGCGCTTCTGGATTTAAATGAAATGTTCTATAAGAGATTCAGGAAGCTGTCTGAAGCAGTCACAAGTGATATCCTTTGCTCTGACTCTTACCAGTAAACCCTTTCAGGGTTCAAATGCAGGCTATTAGTGTGGTGTTTTGAAAAACATATTTGAAAATGAAAGATGAGAGTCTTGTGCTATACAACTGGAGACAACTAGAGATGCATTCACTACATTTGGAAGGTTCCACTGTCATGAAAGTGTTTTATGTGGGAACCTTTAACTTGGGTTAAAATTTTAAACAGTACTAAAAGAGAAATGCAGTATCTTGCTTATAAAAATGGATGGTGTGAGCATATTTTGGCCTTTAAGTGAAAGAAAAAGTACAGTCTGCAGGTTTTTCTTAAAATCACATACAGTACTGCAGAAAGCTTCTTTACAGTAGATATCAACTTCTCGGCATTGCTTACGTTAACAACCATTTCACGTAATAGTATCCCTCACTATGCCGGCATGACTGAAAAAGCAATACAATACAATAGCTTTTACCCTCATTCAATGATATAAATCTGGATCCGTCTGGCTGCTTGAGTCAATAGGCATTTAACTGCCCTCTCGTGTAATCCATCACAAGATAGTTATCTTTATTTTATATGTGCAGCTTTATAGGTGAGAGTGGACTGATATTTATTTGTATTAATTTAGAGAAGTTTTTTTTTTTTTTTTTAGTTTTGTTTCTTTTTCTGGCGGTACTATTGGTTAACTATTGGCCTTCGTCTTTTCTCCCTCAGCCGTATCATGTAAGAAGTTGGATGGTGGACCTGCAGACGTTGCGGCCTGTCTTAAGTTTGCGGGTCCTATGCCTCAACTCACTCAGTCCTGCCAGCTTCCATGTCAGGATGACTGCCAGCTGACTACCTGGTCCAAATTCTCATCCTGCGCTGCTGATTGTGTGGGTGTCCGAACTAGGAAAAGGACCCTTGTTGGTAAGTGCTGGATTTAGTGAGTCTAAATCTTAAGGCTTCCTGATGTCAAGTCATCAAACAAGCTCTTCTCACCTACATCTTTGATGTTTTACAGCACATTTGCTTTATGATTCCTTCAGATGCATTTTAGCAGCCTGTGTCACATGCTCCTTGATCTAATATGCCAATTTGCTGCTCAAGAAACATTTCTTAATTCATTTTATTTATTTTTTTAAGTTTGCTGACGTGTGTATTGTTTTACAGTGGTAGTGACAAAATCAAGTCTCTTGTGTGATGAGGATTGATTAATTTGAAGAAAACCCTCTGTGTTCCAAATACTTTTGCAAAATGTTTTTTGTTAGATGCATATGCCTGTACCTCAGTTGAGCCAGAAATGTGGTTTGACCTTTAGTACAATGTACCATGGGAAGCTTAGTCGGTTATTTAGAGGTTAACAAAATACAGTGCGTGTGCCAAAGACCTATTTGCCCTTTAGATGACCTGCTGCAAGTCAAGCAACTTTGCAAAGGGATTACATAAGATTAGTGCAATAGGTCTTTCAATTTGGATAAGTCTACTTACTCATGATTACCAGATCAGTATGTTTGGACCAAAGGAGGATCATTCTGTTAGCGGTGCGTTCCGTATCATATTATTACAAAATATTTATTTCCCTGAATATGAAAGCATATTTAAATGGATAACATGACCTTATGACTTTTGATCTAACATCTTAAAATAGTGTATGTTTGTGTGATTTTTCTGGCATAGGTAAAAGCAAAAAGAGAGAACAATGTAAAAACACACAGATGTATCCTCTGAGTGAAACCCAGTACTGCCCCTGCAACAAGTACAATGCCCAGCCCGTGGGGAACTGGTCCGACTGCATCCTGCCCGAGGGTGGGCGAGTAGAGGGCCTTTTGGGTATGAAAGTGCAAGGTGATATCAAGGAGTGTGGCCAGGGTTACCGGTTTCAAGCCATGGTGTGCTACGACCAGGACAACCGCCTCGTGGAGACGTCACGTTGCAACAGTCACGGTGGGTGAAAAAAGCTTAGGTGTATCATTCCTGCGCCACTAGTGTCATTGTAAAAATAAGGATTAATTTATCTGCTTATCTGCCATTGGTCAGACAAACAGATTGTCCCGCCCCATACTCACGTCATTGGTTGAGCCAGCGTTACTGTGTCGAGAAGAGTGTACATTTTTACACACGTTTTTGTTTGTCTTTGTTTTGTTTTTTGACAGAAATATCATCTTGTAAATTTAGGCGATATTTTATTGTTAGATTCATTTGTTTTGTTCAACTTCTTTTTACACAAAATAACCATCCAATAAAAATATAACTTTTATTTAAATTTTTTTTTTATTTATACTAAAATTTTTTATAAAAAATAATAATACTACACGAATAATACTAATACCTCTTCAAAATAAATACAAAATAATTTTACAAAATAACATTTCATGTGAAGAGAAATGTGAGTGGAAAATTAAACCAAATATTTTTTATGAAAACAGATTTCATTTATATAATACAATTAACCTCAAAAGAAATAAAAGTCTCATCTGTTTTCTCCTATTATTTAAAATGCAGTCAGATTTTTGCACAGGGAAAAAATTGTTTAGAGTAGAGAGTAGTTTTGTCTTTTTTGTCTCATTTTCAAGTAAATCTAAATATTCTTCATACTATTCTTAAATGTACTATATATCTATTATGTTAATTTAAGTTATATCAAGTTTTGTTTTCTAAAAAAAAAAATCTAAATTGAGAAATCTTGTTTTCCCTTTATAATAAATGTATTTTTCTTACCCCATTGTTCTTCTTGTTTTAAGCATAAACTCACTTTTTGTGAGAAATTTGTCAAAAAACAAGATGTACAGTAATATCCTATGTAATTTTGCTTTTAATTACATAATGCACGATTGAAGCATTCATATCTATCAAAATCGTTCCTTATAGTTAGTCCATCTCAAGTAAATAAAGCAAAGAGCTTGTCTTAATAGAAAATCAGCTTTCCGCAACAGTGTTCGTGATCTAATTGGGCGCTCCGCACCTCTTGCCACCTCCTGCAGCAAGGAGCTCAGAAATGAGTGTTTGGCAATCCGTTCCTCTGAGCCCGAGATTAGACTGTGGCAAACTACAGCGTTAGATGAAGGCATGTGGAAGCTCATGGCCAATGCATGAGCTCTGTGTTCCCGCCGGTGGAAATCGCAGACCGAAAGGGCACTTTAGCGTCTGCGATTAAATGGGCAGGGGCTCGAGTCCCCAACGCCCCCCGCCCCCGAGCACGCCACTGTTAAGGCCTCTCTCTTTATGAGTCACAATCCTCTAGTATGGATTGTACGCTCTCAGCTGGAGGCTTGAGACTGACTTAAAGACTCGGCATTCCTAGAGTGAAGATGTGCTCTTCCTGCTTCCTCTGAGACATCCCTCACTCCAATCAGACCTCATACCCCTCATGATTTGAAACATAGTTGCCATTTTGTGAGGCTGCCAGACTGACATGTTGCCCAAGGCGATTTGTAGGGGGGGCGGGGTTGAGCGTGTTTAATCCAAATTTCTGTGATAGGGATTCTGGTTCAAAAGTGTAACTATATACAGATATCTTGACTTTTTTTTTTTTTTTTTTGATGGTGTGTATATTCATGTCTGTGTATAAGAATAACCTTGTGTTGTCCAATTTATTATTGATACAGACTATGTAAGAAAAAACAATTTTTTCAAAGAGTTTTGAATGAGAATCTCTTTAACAATATTAAGGTGTTTAACAAAATGTTAACAAAAATTAACTTTTTAATCATTAAACTTTATTAATTTAGTGCCACTATAAAAAAATGTCAACTGTGTTCATTTAAATGAGATTTCAATTTCTTAATTTTAATTTTAAAATTACATTTTCTAAAATGTACAATTACAAATGATCTAAAGTGAAGATTTTTACCACCATTGGAGCAGTTAATGTGGAAGCCCCTGTCTTCCAGATAATTAAAAAAACAAATAAAAATAAAAACTTTTTATCTAACAATTGTGACTTTATCACTATTATGAATTTATATATTCACAATGTGGACTTACTTTTTCAGAATTGTAAGTTTATAACACATAATTCTGACTTTATTTCTCTCAATTCCGAGTTTATATCTCACTTCGGACTTATTTTCTCAGAATTGTAAGTTCATAACACATAATTTTGACTTTATTTTTCACAATTGTGTGTTTATTTCTCATGATATAAGTTAACATCTCAGAATTCCGACTTTTTCTTGGAATTCTAAGTTTTTGCAGGTTTAAATTTGCAGGTTTAACTTTTTAATTAGCACAGAATTCTGAGAATAAAAGTCAAAATTGTGAGATTCAGTATAACATAAGAATTGTGAGAAATAAAGCCAGAACTGTGCGACCAAAAGTTGCAATTACCATTTTTATTTCATGACAAAATTCATGCTTTGAATCACATTGACTTTTAAATCTTTTTTTTTTTTTTTTGAAAATTATTTATAATTTTTTTATACAATGTACGTCTGTATCTCAACTGTGGCATAATTTCCATGATGACCAACATTTTGCTCCTAAAGTTCGAAATTTAGTATTAAAAGTGATTCATGTCGTATATTTCAAGTCAAGTCTTCTAAAGTCCGACAATAGCTTTGTGTGAGAATAAGGCCTAAATTATTCACTGGTCACCATCCTTTGATATTTGACAACTTAAATTTTTTTTTTTTTTTTTTTTTTTTTTTTTTTTTTTTTTTTTTTTTTTTACCACATTAATATATTTAAATAATCTTTAAAACATTCTGAGTAAATACAAAATTTTATATTGGTGATCATTTATAAATACCATCTACTCATGTACCATTTATTCCTTTGCTTTTTCATCAGCAAACTTCATGTTTCATGCTCAGCTATTGCAGCTTTTTAAACATCAATCATCCAATTTAAATCAGATATTTTTGTGCTTGTAGGTTTGAAGGAGCAAAGTATTATGCTGTTTGAATAATCCTCTGAAATGTTCAGGACTTGAGCTGTCTAACATAGCTTTCCCATTCCAGAAACAAACTATAACCTTTGCAAGTTGTGATGTAAAATGAAACTTCAGCAGACCATATCAGTGCAAATGCCACAACCTTGACCTTAACACTGTTTCATCTGTCACAATTTATTAGGCTTACTCCAGTAACCAGCATCATAACTGTATCATGTTGGTTTTACTCATTATAATAGAAATGCTAAGTTTCATTCTTCTCTCTTTTGGCTCTTGAAGGTTACATAGAGGAAGCGTGTATCATTCCATGTCCATCTGACTGTAAGCTCAGCGAGTGGTCAAACTGGTCCCGTTGCAGTAAGTCCTGTGGCAGTGGAGTCAAAGTACGGTCCAAGTGGCTTCGGGAGAAACCTTATAACGGTGGCAGACCCTGCCCCAAACTGGACCATGTTAATCAGGTATGCAGGGACCCGGTTATATTTTTTTAATGAATATGTGCTTGTCTTGTTTTGATGATGAATTACTGGGGTGCTGTAAATTATTGATCAAAGGACTAAACGGAATAACATGTTTCTTTAATGCAGAGCAATGGGGTTTACTAATATGTTCATATACTGTAATCATGGGATATTGTTTGTGCATCATAGCTTTAGATCATTAAAGATTATGTGAATTTCCACAGCATCAAACGATCTTCTGAGGTTTTGGAAGTGACTAATGAATGGCATGTAACAACTTCTCTGTTTTCCCGCATTTCTCCCTTTCATCTTCTCTCTCTCTCTTGTCATGGCGGGAATCCTGCAACAGGCTCAGGTAAAAATCTCAGGTTTTAAATGATTGATGATTGTGCACACGTGATTAACCAATTATTTTTGAATGATAATATTTTGATGATAATCAGTTTTGATCAATTATTAATTCAAGATTTTGATAAATGTATGACTTTGAAGTCCAAGGACATAGGAATGATCTCAAAAGTAACAGGACTCATTATAAACCTGATTGGCTTAGCTCATGAATATTAAGTAGGTGATGTAACTGAAAGGAAAATTACCTTTTTAATGTTAGTTTTCTTGTTGAGATATTTTTAATTAACATCAGTAATAACATAAATTAGTTAATTTTAGATAATTAATTCATATTAGGTAATATATTATCTACCGTTCAAAAGTTTGAGGTTGGTCAGATTTTTTAAAATGTTTTTGAAAGAAGTTTCTTATGATTAGCAAGGCTGCAAAATACAGTAAAAAAACAGTAATATCATGAAATAGTATTACAATTTCAAATAACTGTTTTCTAATTTAACAAATTAAAATATTTTAAAATGTAATTAATTCCTGTGATTGCAAAGCTGATTTTTTTAGCAGCCCTTACTCCAGTCTTCAGAAATCAGTCTAATATACAGATTTGGTGCAAATGATTTTGGTGAAACATTTTTTTTTTCAGGATTCTTTGATGAATAAAAGCATTTACCTATTTATCTAAATTAATCAATGCTCTAAATAATTGTTATTTCACTGTTAATTCATGATAACTGAAGAACGAACAAATGTTGATTGAATAAAACCTGTAAAGTGTACCAATAAAGCTTTATAAATAGGATTATTCCCCAAAAAGTTGGCGAACAAGCTGAAACCTCTGTGGTGTTTCTCAGGTGTATGAAGTGGTACCCTGTCTGAGTGACTGCAGTCAGTATGTCTGGGTGGCTGAGCCGTGGAGTGTCTGGAAGGTCAGTAATGTTGATCTGAAGGAGAACTGCGGGGAAGGTGTACAGACGAGGAAAGTTAGGTATGACTGACTCAAACAACATTAGCAACAGTATTACTACTTAACACAGCTTTTTTAGAAAGTACAATCAAAGTTCATGGTGGTCCTAACAGATGTTTCTTTTCATGAAGGTGCATGCAAAACACTGTTGATGGACCTTCAGACCCTGTAGAAGACTATCTCTGTGATCCAGAGGAGATGCCGCTTGGAGCCCGAGAGAGCAAGTTGCCCTGTCCTGGGGACTGCGTTTTGACTGACTGGGGCCCTTGGAGTCGATGCCTATTGGTGAGAGGAAACATTGATCAGGAGCACATCTAATGTTCAGTATAGCACACAATCCTATTTTCCCTCTACAGTGATGTGATGGATAATCAGTTCTTCCATGTGTGGTGTGTATGATGAAGCTGACTGCAACACTTTTCAATGCAAACGTCCCCTGAAAGCCCAACCTTTATATGATCAGTTTAAATGCATGCAGATTAGCCAGGCTGGAACCTCTTCCTCCTATTTTTCCATCTCCTGCAGAGGAGGATTTGAGACACAGCATGTTCTTCAGAGCTGCTCAACACCAATCAAACATTTTTGATCGGCCATGCACAGGCAGATGGTAAATGAACGGCAAAATAAGAAAACTGAGGATGGTGTTGTGTATGGCAGGGGTTGGCTGCTTGGAGTGGGTTGCGAGTTCACACAACAAATAGTTTGCAGTGGCATAAGTGTGTGTATAGGTATTACTGAGGAATCTCTCGGGGGGAGGGTTACTCACGTCTGTCTCAGTGTGATTCCCAGGCACACTGCCACCAAACTGCAAGGGTAGCTAATTGCCATGGATACTCAGAGTATCCCTGTGTTGAAAATGCGGGAAGGCTTAAAACATCTTACACATGACATCAGAGAGGAATTTATTTCCCTCAGAAAGAGCTGCCAATGTCTGAAATAACAAGGAAATGTGAAAGCGAAATTAATCTGCTGCACATATGCTGAATATTTCAAGTCCTCTCTTTTGTCCATTTGATTGTTCTTTTGTTGTTCATTGATCATCGTTTGTTCATTGAAAGCTTTGTTTTGTTCTGTTTTTTTTTTTGTTTTTTTTTGAAGCCATGCAATGTCAATAGTACAAGACAGAGGACTGCCAGCCCTATACGTCAGCCTGGGGAAAGGAAACAGTGTCCTTCAACTACAGAGAAAGAAATATGCACCCTGAACACCAACTGCTTCCATTACTCCTATAATATTACAGGTAAATATTGACTGAAATTTAACTAGAACATGCTGGCTACCAGATACATGCGAAGACTAAAAAATCACTATATGATTTGACAAATGTGGCTATTCATCTGTCACCTGGCCTCTTAAAGGGATAGTTCACCCAAATAAAATTCTGGCATTATTTACTCACCCTAATGTCATTCTAAACCTGTAAGACCTCCGTTCATCTTCGTTACACAAATTAAGATATGTTTGATGGAATCTGAGAGCTCTCTGACCCTCCCATAGACAGCAAGGGTCCTTACACGATCAAGGTCCAGAAACGTAGCAAGGAGATCGGTAAAATAATCCATGTGACATCAGTGGTTCAACCATAATTTTACGAAGCTACGAGAATACTTTTTGAGTGCAAAAGAAAAAAAAACGATTTTTATTCAACAATTCGTCTCCTCCAGCACGCGGATATGCTGTTTACGACGTTTACGCTTTGATTTGAACGAAAACAGCGTATCCGCGTGGCGCAGCTGACACAAAACAGCATACGCAATTTACGTTCAGTGGATACTCTCCAAAATGGCGCTAGGGTGATGCGGAGGAGACGAATTGTTGAATAAAGTCGTTTTTTTTTTCTTTTGCGCTCAAAAAGTATTCTCATAGCTTCTTAAAATTATGGTTGAACCCCTGATGGCACATGGATTATTTTACAGATGTCCTTGCTACGTTTCTGGACCTTGATCGTGTAAGGACTCTTGCTGTCTATGGGAGAGTCAGTGAGCTATCTTAATTTGTGTTCTGAAGATGAATGGAGGTCTTACGGGTTTGGAACTATCTTGGTACTTTTCTGGACCTTGAACGTGGTAGTTACCTTGCTGTCTATGGTAGGGTCAGAGAGCCCTCATATTCCATCAAAAGTATCTTAATTTGTGTTCCGAAGATGAACAGAGGTCTTACGGGTTTGGAACAACATGAGGGTGAGTAATTAATGACAACATTTTCAGCTCTTGACTTTTCCTAATACTGATTATCAACTAATTTCAACTTCATAACAGTATTATTTTCGATCAAACAATAGCTTTTGCATGGTGGTAGAATCCTAGGGAATGCATAAAATAATGAAATGTACAATACAGTATATCCTGAATGCAATGCGAGTTGCTTTGGATACAATTATTTACCAAATGCATAAATGTAATTTAAATGTAGTGCTACTGCCATAACATATCATTAATTTATTATAATAAAATATAAATAAAATATTCAAATATAAATAAAACATTTTATATATTTTCTCCTCTAAGAATAATTTTGTTATTTCGATTTCACATTACATTTGATTTGGAACAAATGCATTGTGAAATAGGCGTTATTTTAGTATTCTGCTTTTAGTAATATACTATAATAGTATTTATTAGCTTTTATTTTTATGTTTTGCATTTTCATTTTCATTTTAGTAATGAAAATAATAATAATTATAGTAGTAGTAGTTTCTGTAATTTTATGTGCTTTATCATTTTTATTATTATTTTAAATTTTTCAAAAATCTATATTTCTATTTAGCTTTATTTCAGTTTTAGTTTTAGTAATTTTAGTACTTCAGCTTAAACGTAGTTGCCAAGGCAACAATTTTAATTTAAGTTTTTTTTTTAAGTTTATTTAATTCATCTAATTTTATTAATTAAAATGTATTTAGATTTTTAATAGTTTTAGTTTTAGTTGACAATAACAATGCAGAGGTGCCAGGTATGAGACATTAAACAGTGCGTTGAATTTTCACATGATTAATTTGAAATAATTGGTCAGAGGAATATTAGAATATTTTTTAGAATAATTTTTTATATTTCCCATCCAGACTGGAGCACATGTCAGCTGAGGGAACGAGCCGTATGCGGGGTTGGATTCAAGACACGTATGCTGGACTGTGTTCGCAGTGACGGCAAGTCTGTGGACCTGAAGTTTTGCGAGGAGGTACTTTTCTGTTCACGAGACATCGTTTACAAGTGATGCTTCTGTTGTAAATCCACTAAATTGATTTTGTTTCTTTTAGCCTGGTCTTGAGAAAAAATGGCAGATGAATGCTTCCTGTGTGGTCGAGTGCCCTGTCAACTGCCAGCTGTCTGATTGGTCGTCCTGGTCTGAATGCTCTCACACCTGTGGTCTTGCAGGTAAGCCAACACTTCATATTGAAGACCTTGATTTGAAGTTGGATTTATGCCAGAAAACGGTAAAATTTCACAGTTTTTGTGACATTATTAAATTTGCATGGTTTGGTTAATTCACACTCTCAGCAGTCTGTCAGTCTGTTTCAGACAAAATCAAAAGCCTCAGGAGGGTGTTTGGGTCTTGCGGTCCAGAATGTTAGTCTTTGATGTTAGCTAACATGACCGGTTCCTCAAATGACAGGTTTTAGAGTATTGTACTGAGCTCTCTGCTATCTTAGAATTACCAAAGCGTTGGCTAAAACCACAAAAAAATTATGGTGTGAAAACAATTGTGTTATCGCCCAGAAGCAGCATTTTATAGGAGGATAATGATGTCCTTGAGTGTAATTCCATCTGCTCTGAAGATTGATTAGGGGCCCATTATGTTTGTGTGCTTGGGGCCTAAGAGACCACTCCACTGCACAAGGTCTTTGAGAGCCAATGGCCAGCAACTGCTAGAGCAAACCCTGCCGCTATATGAACCTGTGCTGGTTTATTTCATCGTGGCATCTTTAATCTCTCTCCAAGCGGCAGGATTCCCACAAAGATGATCTGTAGTCCTTCACAGAAAGTCCTCATGCTTGTACAGATGCAAATAACTGTTAATGCAAATAACTGTTTTCATACTGAAATTTACATTTTTAGGATTAACTGGCAATAATTTGTTCAAAAAACAAGTTCTTAGTAATGTATTTTTTGTGTTCATAGTTCACTTTTTGTGTTCATTTTATCATTTTTAAAAGCCATTTTAAACTATTTTAACTGACTCTGAAAATTGTGTTAGCAACATAAAAAGTAATAACATTTTACGTAAACATGAGTGTACACATCACAATGATTATTTTCATGAAAGTTTTTATATTTTGTATTTTTCAAAGTAAAAAGTATTTTAGTACAGATATCGTGAATTATTAATTCATGAATATCATTTTGTTTTTTTGGGGGGATATTATCATATAACAACCTGGACTGGCCTTGTTTTGTCATGAAAGGTCAAATTATCTTATATTTTAGGAAACTTTAAGAGACTGACTTTGACACACAGTCATGAGGGTCTTCAGGGGTCTAATCTATGATATCATATCCTGTATTATGTGTGTGTCCCCCTCTATTTATCTCCACATTACTTTCATCTCATTTTATTTATTGGTCCATGTGATTCTTCACACCATATGACTTGAATTATTTTATTTTTTTCTCCGTGATATGAGGACTTATGTATTTATTGAATGTTGTATTTGTGCTCCAGAATGTATTAAAATTAAAATTTGAATATTCAATTTTAATTCAGAAATCAGTATACAAGAGGCACATTCCTCTTTATATAGTCTTTATATATACAAATTGCTAATAAATAAATGAATAGTGTTGGATATTATTAGTGCTGGTCATTGACACAATTAGCACCCATGAACATCATGAAATCAGGCATGAGTTTATTTATTTATTTTTGTCAGCGAAGAACAATTAAATTGTCTTGTGACATACAGTATGTAGTGCAAAGCAAATTAAGACCCAGTTGTGAGCTGAGCCACGAGCTAAACGTCCAGGATTGGCTATCCTGTGGCACACTGGTTATGCTGTTCGCCCTAAACCTGGCGCCTTGGCCACCAGTAGAGACAGGAAGAGATGAAAAGGAAGAGTGTGAGAGAGAATTGAGAGAATGAGCAATCCCTACAGCTAAAAACTCTCACAAAGGCACACAAGCAATTGTGTATGTACAGTTTTCCCAATTGAACCCAGCATATAAAAAGAGGATGCAAGGCGCTGGGAGTTGATTTGGTTTGTGGCTGCTGGAAAGCATGGAGCTTCACAGAGGATTCTCCGCAGGGATGGTCCATCACGGCAGACTGCGGCGAAGATTAATCTGGTACAGCTAGCTTCAGGGCAACCTGTCAGCCGAGGACTGAGCTATGATCATGTTTAACATTACGAAGTGCCTAGCCGCACCCTTCGAGGTTGTGTACATCCAGCCTTTTTCATGATAAAACTAACTGCAAAGAAGTTGACAGAGTCTTTTCCAACTACAGCCCAGAATCACTTCTGCTAGGCCTGATGACCATTTGGCGCCACTTTTGCTGTAGTATTTCAGTGCCAAAACCTGTATCGTATTCACAAACCACCTAATATCCAGTTCAACCAATGCTAAATGTGCTCAAATAGCACTGAATAGTTACTTCTTGAGCATCAAATCAGCATATTAGAATGATTCCTGAAGGATCATGTGACACTGAAGACTGAAGTAATGGCTGCTGAAAATTTAGCTTTGTCATCACAGGAATAAATTACATTTTATAATATATTAAAACTTACTGACCCCAAAGCCCATCAATGAAGAAAGATGATTATGGGATCGTACAACAGAAAGAGATCCCTTTAGATCTTAACATTAGCTAACACTGCTTAAGAAATGAGTGGTCATATGCTCTATAAAATCATGTTTTTAGAAGAAAAATACATAAATACCTATAAGTGCTTGCTCTGTAGTAATTTTAGTAACACACGTTTTGAAGTTTTATGAAGGTTTTGTTATTTCGTTTTTTGTGTTGCCATGCAAAATAATCGTTCTTGTGAAAGAAAAGTTTTATTGCAAGCATCCCCTGTGTGCCACTCTTAAACAGAAGGATGCATTCTCCCTGAAAGAGTCTACACTCCATTTCTCTCTATCCCTCTCCTCAGCCCTGCAGAATCGATTTAAGAAAATCAAGAGGGGGAGAGATGAATATTCAGAGTGGTTTCAGGGCCTGGAATTAGGCTTGAAAAATGCCTGGCAGATTAAGTTATTCACAGACGGGTGGAACATTACTACACAGAAAGAAAGACTTTCAGGTCACATATCGTTTTTGGCTTCCATTGGAGAGGGATTGAGTTACCTGAGATTAGTGTGTGTGTGTAACATGAGATAATTCACTTACTGTAAAAGCCTTTATTTCATTCAAGGAGTCACTTTGCTTGTTGTTAAAACATAAGATGAGCATCATCTTTAGCAAGCATCCGAAAAACTAGGGAGTTGTGCTTCCAGTATGTGAGTGAATTTTAAAATAACATTTGCCGTGTCTTATAGAAAATGTTGTGTTGCAACAACAAACCTACCTCAAATACTAAGGCTTTTAAAACTTTAGCAATGCTACAATGCAGCATCGTGAAAAATATCTGTTTTTCTTTAAATGTTTCTTGTAGGGAAGCTCTGGAGAAGGAGAACTGTAATCCAGGCCTCTCAGGGTGATGGACGGCCATGTTCCTCACAGCTGGAACAGTGGAAGCCCTGTCCTGTTAAACCCTGCTACAGCTGGAGATACAGCGCCTGGTCTCCATGCAGATCTGAGGTGAGTTTCCTGATGAGTCGCTGAGCTTTCTTTATTCAGTTTGGACAATAAGCTGAATTAAATATTTTAAAATGTACTTCACGGATGTTGTTTTTTTTAAGGTATCAGGCACAGAAGTGTTAAGGGAAAAAGTTGTATAGGCAAAAAAATGTATAGATACACTGGCGTTCAAAAGTTTGGGGCAAGTAAGATTTTTTTTTTTCTCTTTAAATGAAATTAATTCTTTAATTCAGCGAGAATTGTTCAAGGCATTTATAATGTTAATGTTAAAAAACGATTTCTCAAATAAATGCTGTTCTATTGAACTTTCTATTCATCAAAGAATCCTGAAAGATGATCCTAAAAGCACAACTGTTTTCAACACTGATAATAAGACATGTTTCTTGAGCAAATCAGCATACAGTATTAGAATGATTTCTGGAGGATCATGTGACACTGAAGCCTGGAGTAATGATGCTGAAAATTCAACTGTGTCATCATAGGAATAGCTGGTTGTGGTGTGCATGATACACACATCTTGCTCATACAGTACATTGTCGTACAATATTTTCGCATATGTATGTATGTACAGTATTTTTATGTATGCATATATAGTCCTATTTTCCCAACATACTGAATTTATTAGTGTATGTCAGTAAATAAATGAAATAAATGCTAAATGAACCACATTATTTATTTACTAAAGGATCTTAGTGAGGTTGAAAAAGTTCCCCACACAGATTTTCAGATGCTCAAGTCGGTCATGCAAATCTGCCACACTGATCAACAAAAAGCTGCTTGTGACCTGAGCTTCATATATCTCTACGTTACCGACAATGAACATTAGACTTGTTGTTGCATGCAAAATTTAGCTGAAATTTCACTAATGTGACTGTAACTTGATGCGTAAAAAAGTAACCTGATTGTATAAAACCTATGTAATGCAATGAGCGTTTTATTTTGCAAGCCGATATGAACATCTTAAGAAGGTTTCATCTTACTTGAGGCGCCTTTCCCTATAGTAAACCACCATCACTTCATTTCATCTGCAGCAGTGTTTAGGTATATTTAGAATATTCCCCAATCCTCTCCTGCTTTGGCCTTTCCGCAACGTTTCTGCTGTCGTCTTCCTCCTGTCATCAGTCTGGTTTTCAGGACCCTACAGGGGGTTTAATTAAAGACAACAGACAAAGCACACAGCCCCTCTGTTCTCTCCTTTCTTCCCGTCTCTCTTTCTCCTTCCCCCCTCGTACCTCATGCCCCCGTCACAGTGCAGGCTGTGAGAGAATATTGACTCTGGCCTTTGTTCTCGGATGCCTGTCTCTAAAGTGTCTTCTGACAGCCCTCAGCAGTCTCTAGCAGCAATGCTTCACTTGTGCCTCATGTTTTTAGAGATTTTCAGTAGCTATGAAAAAATAATGCGGGTAGCTGACAGTGCGAAACATGAGGACAGAGAAACAATGTTGGCATTTCTTCCTGCCTTATTTTGTATCATCATGAGAAGTTTTGCTCTTTCGAGGTTTAGAGCAACAAAGAAGCTGCTTTTCTGTGTAGAGTTCATCCTCAATCTCCACTAGGACTACAAAAAGTTTATTTATTTATTTTTTATTTTTTTACCACAGCTGGTGTCCAGTTGTAGTCATTAATGTTAAAACTCCCTGTTTCCTTAGGGTGCACGGTGTGGAGAGGGCCTGCGCTTCAGGAACGTGTCCTGCTTTGTGTCCGATGGCTCGGGGAAGGATCCGGGCAGTATGGTGGATGAGGAACTGTGCGGAGACCTGGAGCAGACAGTGGATGAGGACAAACAGATCATCCTGCAAGAGTCCTGCACGGTGCCCTGCCCAGGTAACAACTAATGCCACAGATGTGATGACATGCTGTTGAAGGCAAGCATTGAAATTGAAGCGCCTCACTGATGTAAATCTTGGGTTCAGAAACTGACATTAATTACATGATTAAGTACATAAATATTTGTTACAATATACACTACTATTCAAAAGTTAGGGATCAGTAAATTTTGAGTTTGCTTATTTATTTTATTTTATTTTTTCATTCCGCAATGTTACTATCAAAAGTAACATTAAAGACATTTGTAATCTTACAAAAGATTTCTGTTTCAAATAAATGCTGTTCTTTTTAACTTTTTATTCATCTAAGAATAACATACTGAACAGCACAATAGTTTTCAACACTGATAATAATAAGAAATGTTTCTTGAGCAGCAATATTAGAAGCAATATTAGAATGATTTCTGAAGGATCATGTGACACTGATGACTGGAGTAATGGCTGCTGAAAATTCAGAATTGCCATCACAGGAATAAATTATATTTTTAAATTTTTTTCAAACAACCTTTGCAAATGCCAATATCAATCACCTATTTATTTTCTAACAGAAGTGTTAATGTATTCGGCAGGTGAGTGTTACCTGACAGACTGGACTGTGTGGAGCCCGTGTCAGCTGAGCTGTATCAGCGGGGACGATCTGGGCTTCGGTTCGATGCAGGTGCGTTCTCGTGCTGTTCTAGCTCAGGAACCCGAGAACCTTCTTCAGTGCCCAGAACAGGAATGGGAAGCCAGGCCATGTACAGGTCAGTCAAAATCAATGCATTTAGGGCAAACAATGCAGTTTCACTGTAAAAATAAATTCTGAAATTGTAAATAAAAACAAACATTACTGGAGTATGTTTGAGTTCAAAAATACTATTTCATCTTCAAAATTTCAAGTTTAATCCTGTGTTACTTGCTGATTTTTTGTAATTATTTGTGAAATTTACTAGCAAGTTTCTGAGTGAAAATTGTCTCTTCATCGTTTATTTTTTATTTTTTTTCATTGTAGATACCTTTATTAAGCCTACATATTTTAATGTTTTAACAGTTATAGGTTTCATTATTTTTTTCTGAATGTGCCACTGTTAATACTGTTCTATGTTTTAAGAGGGCCAGTGTTATGAGTACAAATGGATGACCGGTCCATGGAAAGGCTCGTCTCGACAAGTCTGGTGCCAGCGCTCTGATGGATTGAATGTCACAGGTGTGATAGATAGATAAATAAATACATACATTAACAAACAAACAAATATTTTTGTGTTAATACATAAGTAGTTTTATAAATTAATATTTGTATTATTCTTTTTTTTTTAGTCCATTATATATAGGAGGGAAGAAAATAATGGTGCATCCCCAGGTGCACAAATTGTAGAAGCAGAGATAAGCCACCCTGTATCTGCTTTCGATATTCAGAGAAATAAAAAGTGAAACCATCACTACGACAGAAGCGTCAATATTCTCTCCTCAGAGAGTGTTTGATGACAGACTGTGGTTTGAGATAAAGTCAACGTCCTGTGCTGTCATTTCCTGTCAGAAAGACTGAAGTGTACGCTGTCTCCTCTTATACATTTGTATATACTTTATGGAAATAAGCTTTTAATCCATGCCAATGTGACACCCACATTTAATCCCATTCACCATCATGCCAGCTGTCCTCCCATGTTAATGTGTCTGTGTGTGTATTTCTACGTCTCTCCCTGTTTTGGTGCAGGCGTGGAAATACACGGGAACAGAAATATGCCCATATCCCTCACACTCTGCTGAAGAACATCATAAATGCATTGCAAAATGAAATTTCTGTGAGCTTTGTATGCCATAATTATACCAAATGAAGCTTGGAATCAGTCCCTCTGATTTTCAAATGTTTATTTGTCCTCTGTGTCGAGCCGTCCAAACTGACCTCGTTCCAGATGGCACACATGAGTCTGGTCACTTGTGATTGGCAGAACAGGGCAGCAGAACTTCTAAGGCTGTAATCAAACCCTCTACAGCAACCAGGTCCCTGTGTATGCATATTCATGAGTTATATTAAGGTGTGCAGAAGTATGAATATTCATACAAGCTGCTAATTGGTAAACATGTTTCTGCAGATGCTTACAGTTTATAGTGCACCTATAAAGAAGAGATATTTTAACATCTTATTGCTAATGATGAATTTTTACATCAAAACACACAAAGAGAAAATGCACGGCCAATTTTCCAAGTATCACCCAGTAACCAGCTTTCTGATTTACACAAATGTCACATCTAGTACTGGTTGTGGCCTTAACAATTGTCATGGTATCTGGCAGCAGCAGTCGAGGGTGGTTTCGGCATTAGGGAGCAGTTCTATTTCACTGCTCTCATTGTTGATTGGATGTATTGATTCATCCCAGCTTCGAGAAAATAACACCCCTGCACTGGCCGCCGGCTGCCCATTTCAGTGCTTTTATAGATCCAGTGGATTCCCACAGGCTGAGGATTGTAGAGAGGAAGATGGAAAGAGATCGTACACATAGGCGACCCAAGAAAAGGATCGTTTTTAATTGTGTTGGCTGACAATAAAACTGGCAAAATCCCATAGACTTACATTGACAGAGTAGCTCAAGCTTGAATATTGAGGGAACAATATATCATACAGACTGAGAATGTGCTAGAAATTATGTAAAAATGTCCTTGTAACCCCTCAGAACACCTTAGCAACCATCCAGAACTTCCTAGTAAAAAATCCTAAAAAACACTCAATACCAGGGTCCAAAGGGAGAAAAAGGTTCAGAAAATGTAAAAAAATAAATAACTTAGTGAATACATATATATTAAACATTTAATATATTCGTAATTTTTATTCTTATATTCTTATTTATTTTATTCTGTTGACAGCCATAGTTTTATGTTTTCCTTTAGTTTATACATCTAACTATGAAAGTCCATTTTCACCGCATAAGAAAACAAAAAACAAAAACAATATTTTGGTAATTCATAATTCTGCCATAAAATCATAAGCGTGAGATCAAATGTCAAAATTATAAGATAAAAAGTCATAATTATGACATGCGTAAAAAATTCTGAGATAAAAAGTCACACTTATGACATAAAATATAGATTTCCATATCTAACAGCACTAATGGCGTGTAGAAAAAAATACATGTTTAATAGATGACATCTAAATATGAGCTCCTTTTTTCTGGATATTTTACATATACATACACATTTATTTATTTATTTTTATTTTTAACACTGTAAATTGGCTACCATATTTTAGGAAGGGGTTTCTCAGAAAGAGGATCATCATATTTGAGGGGTCCATGGCATAAAAAAAAAGTATGAAAACCCTTGCTTTTCCAAAAACATTGTGACACTGAGTTTTGCACGGCCAAGCACCACAAATCTAGTTGAGTTTTTATTACTGCCTCATGCCTATCAGTTAACACATCAGTAATATCATAACACGGGAGGTTTTAAGCATGAATTAGATTGGAGTGAAGAGTGTCTGGCACTCTTTAGCATTACCAAAGAGAGAGAAATAGAGGATGAATGTGGGAGAGCAACAGAATGTAGAGTCTTTGATGCCTCCTGCCTCCAGGACAATACTGTGGCTGAAAATGATCATGTGCTTGTTTGTGTGTGTGACCATGTCATTAAACAATGTTTACATAAGACTTTGAACTTCTTTGCCTGCAGGTGGATGCCTGTTGACAAGCGAGCCGGTATCTGACAGGTCATGTGACCCAGCCTGCGTCAAACCTCGCACCTACTGCACTGAGGTTAGTATGTGTGCATGTTAATGTGTGGACACCTGCTGAGGTGGGATGCTGGAATGCAGGCAGACTGTAAACAGGGTTGCATGGATATTCAATACAGCAGGATTAGACTTCCTACAGAGGAGAGAGATAGTCTTGAAATGTTTAACGGGAAATGCTGGAACATGAGAACCAAGGTGCACTGGCTATAATAGGAAAATTTGATATCCGCTTATCAACAGAAACTATCTTAATAACCTTAGATGGAAACTATTAAAGCCACTTTACTATTCAGTCTTTTTCTGATAAAAATAACAGTGTTAGCCTTATGCATGGAATTTATCAAGCACCATGACCAATGTCAGAGGATATTAAAAGCAGTAACACTGCTAGTGCTGTAGAGATCAGTACAGGCCAAATAAAACACCTTAGGGAAGATAAGTCACTATCAATTGAGAGCTTTATATTATTCTGGATGGCAGAACTGTTTTGAGTGGTTGGTGTTTTTGAATGTTTTTATGCTGCATATGCCTTTGATTTGTAAGATCCTCTAAATAAATGATCAACGTGTTTATGGACATATACGGTTGGGATGTGGTAAGATCTCCTTTGCAACTTTCTTAATTGTTATTATTATCATCATTGTTATTATTATTGATCATATTTTAGGTAGTATTAACATTGTTAACAAAACCATTACTAGAATAAATTGTTAAAAATAAATAAATAAATACAATAATCTCTTTTCAAAAAGAAAACAATGTATGCATTTAGCAGACGCTTTTATCCAAAGCGACTTCCAGTACATTCAGGCTATACATTTTTTACCAGTATGTGGTTAGTATATAGTTTAAATGAATAGAACTACCCTTTATTTTTATTTTATTTTATTTTATTTTAAGAATCTCCTTTGCAACTTAGTTTTCTTTAATTGAACTTCTTTAATTTAATTTAATTTCTTTAAAATATTATTGTAATTTCCAATTAACAATAAAACAATTATTAGAACAAATTAGTTTCCATTAAAAAAATAATTATGTATAACTAGTCTACAGAACTTCTCAAATGGTGCACTATACTGTACACTATGCACGTATATTATGCACCATGTACTCAGTCTAGTATGAATTTCACATGATTATTTTGTCATCCAGCATCAGAGTCGGATAGTCTCTTCCCTACGTAAGCAGAACTGAGACTATTGAGTGCATGAAGTGTCCAGCATTCCACACTTTGTTTTTTTTTGTTGTTTTTTCGCAGTTATTAAAGTGCATCAGCCAGGTATTTCAAGTGCACTTATGAGCGTTTCATGCCAAATGTCCGTTAATATCGCCATTAGTGGCGTAGCATGATCCGTGAGTGCACACAACCTGCGCCACCAATGCCCATCATAAAAACACAAGATACTCTGTATTGTTGCAAAAGTGTCCAGCATTCCACACTTTGTTTTTTTTTTGTTTTTTTCGCGGTTATTAAAGTGCATCAGCCAGGTATTTCAAGTGCACTTATTCATTTTGGAATTTTTCATAGAATAATGCACAAGTGCGTAAATTGGGACGCACTTCATGTCTGTTTCTCCTCCTCACAGCCAGATGGAAATGGTGAATACTTCCAGCTTATACAATCATGCCCCTATATATATATATATATATATATATATATATATATATATACTGTATCTTGTTCCTTTGAAGATAATCCTACATATACGATGTAAACATTCATTGTGACCTACCACATTTGTCCTCCAGTGTGCGATTTCCCCCACTGCATATGAACTGCATGTTGTATGCAAGTGAAGATTGTGAGCGTGTCTGAATCGGGTCTCCTGCTGTGTAGTGAATCCCTCTACTGTGGGAAGAAACCGACTGTATTCATATCAGATTCTTCTGCTACATCCAGACCTGCTCTTCTGTGCCCATCTTTAGAGATGCAAATGCCCCAGTGCATTCTGGTTTTACTGTGATCACACAGATCTGACAAGGGTTGTGTTTGCGCGTGGGCCGATTATCCTCCCAAGATTGCAGTGGGAATAAGAGACACCCTGCAGACGGCAGGAACCTGGGGGTTTCTCCACATATATTTACGCACAAGCACTCAGGCCTGAGGAACGGTGATGCTCGTGGAGATCCAAATGTCTCGTCAGTGGAAGAACACATGCTGGGATGTATCTTATCAACACCCACGCTTGAACGTGCACTCGTAGCCTTCAGGATTCACATGATCTTGATGTTTTCCAGAACGAAGAAAGACTTAAATAGCACAAGGAACACAAAACTTATCTTTGAAATCACAGCTAGATGCTGCAGAAATATTTTTAGCATCTAACAGAGCCGTTTGAGAGAGCTGTTAGCTGAAAGAAAGAACAACGTGACACTGGTAGAGAGTAAGCTAAGCGATAGTCGCAGGAGGCGGAAAGTGAATTTAATTAGCAGCTGTTTAGAGGCCGAGGGAATGCCGCAAATAGAAAGCTGTCTGTGTTTTTAACAACTGGTATGAGTGATTTTCTGCTTCCATTATATTTCAGGTAGCCACACTCTGGCGCCAGTTGCATAAATTTGTCACCATGTTAAAGGCCCGTTCACACCAAGAACGATAACTATAAAGATAACTATATTATTGTCCACACCAGCAGACGATATCGTCTGTTTATTCCAAGCGCACGCTCGTCTGCCACTTTAAATTCTCGAGCTCGTTATGGCAGGATTGATTCTGATTGGCTGTCAATGTTTTTATCGGTCATCAGCTGGAAAAAAAAACGTTCTGAAAGTGATTCCAACAATATCGTTTCTCTGTGTCTTTATCGTTATAACTGTGGTGTGGACTCTGCCATTCTTTAATATTCAGAATGATTTTTAGAACTATATCTTTATCTTTATCTTTATAGTTATCGTCCTTGGTGTGAACAGGCCTTAAGACTGTGTCTTAAGAACTAGTTTGACTAACTAGCAGTTAACCAAGTGGTTATCAGACTTACTTTTCAGATTCAAATGAGGTCAATCTACGTTTTTATGTAACTGGCTTTAAAAAGTTATGACCAGTCTTGCAGAAAAAAATTTGGTGTCTAACTTTTAAGACCAGTCTAAACAGTTTAACTGGCCACTGAACTGACAGCATCAAATTATTTTGCAGTTTATTCTGGCCGAGACGTGACCACATACTTCAAGTGATGTTACATGTTGAAACATTTTAATGTACAATTGATAAGACAAAACAGTTTAAGTCATGAAATAAGTCCTGATTAAAAAATAATGATATTGTGCCTCTGAAATCAAATAAACATTAAATGTTAATAGTGGCCGTTACTGATATAGTCACTGATATATTATGAATCCCTGTTTAAATGCCTTGTCTGTTTTTTCTAAACTTTAATAAAATATATAATTTTTAAAATGTGTTTTATTGTTTTAAAGTACACTACTGTTCAAAAGTGGGTAAAGGGAGGGTAACATTTTTAATGATTTTGAAAAAAAAGTATATTTTGCTCATCAAGGCTACCTTTTTAGATCAAAAATGCAGTAAAAAACAGCAATATTTTGAAATATTATTACAATGTAAAATAACTCTTTTCTATTAGAATATATTTTAAAATGTAATTTATTCCTGTGATGGTAAAGCTGAATTTTCAGCAGTAATTTATCCAGTCTTCAGTGTCACGTGATTCTTCAGAAATCATTCGAATGTGCTTTTTTTTTTTTCAGGATTCTTTGATATATAGAAAGTTCAAAACAGTGGCATTTATTGTGAAATAGAAATCTTTTGTAACATCATAAATGTCTCATCACTTTTGAATGAATCAATTTAATGCATTATTGGTAAATAAAAATATAAATGTATTTAAAAATAATAATAATAATAATAAAATCTCATCTCATCAAGTAGTGTTTGTTTTCCATTGTTTTATTGTGTACTGTATGCTGCTTGTCTGTTGTAAACGGTACCGATTCATGTGTGTAACTGGTGCAATGTCTCCCCCTGCAGGCTGGTGTATGCGGCTGTGAGGAGGGTTACACTGAGGTGATGACGTCTGATGGAATGCTGGACCAGTGCACGGTCATACCAGTGCTTGAGATCCCCACCGCAGGAGACAGTAAGGCTGACGTGAAGACGATCATAGCCCTCAACCCCACTCAGCCCTCCGCCAACCTGCCAGGCCGCTCCGGACGCACCTGGTTCCTGCAGCCCTTCGGACCCGGTGAGTTTATGGCTTTATATAACTCTGAGATGGTTGCGGATGACAAACTTAGAGACATGTTCACAAGCATTTTTGAATTATCATTTATCAACTCAAGACTAATATTTTCACACTAGCTACTGCTAACTATCTTGAACTCGTTTTGTGAATAACAAGGCTTAACAAGAACAAATACAGTGGCCACGAAATTGTTTAGACACAAATGTCTGAATTAAAAGTATATAGGTTTGTTTGCAATATATAAGTTCAATATCACAAAATTTTAGGCACATTTTACATTTTTTAGATATAAATTATAAAACAATAGAAATTTTGTTCAAAATAATGATAAAGTGCTACACATTTTTTATTGCTAATTGTACAACACACGACAGGGAACATCAAACAACATACTCAACAAACACTTTCTGATACTGGTACCAAATACTTTCTGAGGCCACAGTAATATATGAAGGTCCAAACAGGAAGAGGGGTTCCCAAAAAGTTGAACAGAATACCTTTGGCCATTTGTGCCTGTTGTGTTGGTTCTGAACAGCTGAGATGCAGCTGTGTATTTGTGTTGATGTATGTGTGTATCCGCACAGATGGCAAACTGAAGACCTGGGTGTATGGTGTGGCAGCTGGAGCTTTTGTACTGCTAGTGTTCATTGTCTCTATGACTTACTTAGCCTGGTAAGAACATTTGTTATAACAGCAAACTAGATATTTTGTTCATTCCATAAATTTACTTTATTCATCCTTTTCATCATTTATGTTAATCCATGTAAGTTGCTTTCAAATTCACTGCAAAAATCATTTTCCTAATCAATATTTTTGTCTTGTTGTCCACTAAAAATATTGAAAAATTCTTAAGATAAAATAAAACTTTAATATTAAAATGTTACTTGAAGTAAAAACATTCAGGAAATATATTTTAAAATATTATAAGTTAAATAAATTATTATATTTACATTCTTTTTTCCTGTGGTCTTTAACCTTAAACCTTACTAAATATTGTTACATTTCTGCTCTACACAAGAAAAAAAATTAAAGAAGAAACTTTGTTCAAAATATATTCTCTAAAAGTCAAATAAATCAAAGTTATTTTAAGGATTCTTGCATAGTTTTCCTAAAAGACAAGACAAAAATACTGATTCAGATTTTCCTTTTCTTTTTCCATGTATCTCACTTTTAATTTGTCTTCCCAACTCCTTCATATCGATCAGTTTTTGTATGCTGGCCCGGCGCTCTCCTCCGAGCCCGGACCCTTCCATTACCTCTGTGGTTTGGGTCGGACCCAACGACCAAGAGCTGATATACACCTGCCCTGACTGTCAGCGCATTGAGACTCAGTTCAACTAGAGCTCTCAGCTCAGTCCCCTCCCTCATGGCCTTGCCCTGTGGCCAGCCATGTCCATCACTTACGCCTTCTCACTGTCACATGTGCCTTTCTGACCAATCACATGGAGCTGTTTGGAGGAGGTGAGCAGGAAGATTTAGTAGTCTAGCTCAGTGGTTCCCAACCCTGGTCCTTGAGGCACCCCAACACTGCACATTTTGCATGTCTCCTTTCTGACACACCAATTTCAGGTCTTGGAGTCTTTACTAATGAGCTGATGATCTGAATCAGGTGTGTTTGATTAAGGAGACATGCAAAACATGCAGTGTTGGGGTGCCTCTAGGACCAGGGTTGGGAACCACTGGTCTAGCTTTATACACTTATACACTTTATATACTGCCAAAAAAAAACAAAAAAAAAACTTCTTAACAAGTCTTTAAATAGTCCCCCCCCCCCCTCATAATCAATAAAATCAAAAATCAATCAAACAATATAAATTAATCCGAACAACAATTGTTGCTAACCTGTAAATTTAACCTGTGGTGGATGAGGAGATACCCCCTGACAATGTAAAGCGCTTTGAGTGCCTAGAAAAGCGCTATATAAATGTAATGAATTATTATTATTATTATTATACTTAAAAAAAAAAATGGGAGGAAAAATCTGTTGGTGCAGACAAAATACACTAGTTTTCAAGACATGTTCTCTATAAAAAATGCATTATGGAGTGATTTATCATTAAATATGTAATGAAATTATTAAATATGTCATAGAATGTTGCAGTAAATAAATAAAATGACAATGAAATGTAAGCATAAATAAATATGGTGTAAAATAATCTTAAATACACCTTAAAATGAAAATTCTTGTGAAATATGAAATGAAATAATGCAGACAATATAACACAAATGCATTTCAACATTCCATGACATATTTAATAATATTATCATATATCTATTTATTCAATTAAATAATAGTTTATTCTGTTAAATCACTTCATAATGCACTGCTTCTTCTCAAGTAAACTGATCCCATTTCAAGAATTTTTAGATATTGTAACTGGACATTAAGACTTATTAAGAAAATGCACATTAAGAATGGGATTTTTGCAGTGTATCCATACAAAGCTATATGATTAATATATTCCAGGAAATGTTTGAATATACATTAGGGGTTCACAACTCTTTCCTGCCGAGTTTAGCTCCAACCTTGATCAAACTCACCTGTCTGTAACTTTCTAGTGATCCTGAGGACCTTAATGAGCTTGTTCAGGTGTGTTTGATTAGAGTTGGAGCTGAACTTGAGAGTTGAGAACCCCAGCATTAGGCACATATTGTAGTCAGTTTCTGTACCCACACTGCCCCCTGATGGTTAGGTCTAACATACCCATCATCATCATCATCATCATCATCATCTTCTTCTTCTCAGAAATTATTCTTTTTATTATTATTATTATTGTGTGATGCAAAATACTGACATATTCCTTGAAGTTCACCTTATATTAAAAAAAGTTCTGTTACTAGTGTATGACTTTTGAGCTAAAATCGTGACACTGAGGTTTAGAGGATGTTGTATTCACACGTGTCCCTATCTCTGTGTCATAGTACTCACTAAGGTAAGTTTGATTTGTAGAGTATAGTTGGCTGGAACGTGCTGCTGGCTTCACTGTTCCCTCCATTGCTAAAGCTATGCTTCCTGTAAAAGTTAGCATGGCAGCTAATTACTAATCATAACAATTAATAATCAGTGCTAACAATTTTAGCATCTGTCTTCATGTCATATCAGACAAATCCCTAGTTAAATATTGAATTAAAAGTTGCAAAATAATACATTGCACACTTAAATGACAAATGTGCAGTACTGGGTTATAATATAAAAATTTCCATTAATTAAAATGCTTGAACATTTAATGTATAAACATTTCCATTACTTGAAACTTAAATAAATAAAAATAAATATTTAGAAAGTTATTTGATTTCAGCTGTTTGCTAATGAAAAATGTCTCATTTTCATTTTGTTTATTAAACTAAAATTTAAATAAATATAATCACATTTATTTAGACATTTTTACCAATAAAAATACACCATAAAATTAATATAACTGTAAAATCAAAATGGAAAATATAAAAATAAAAACTCATTTAAAATAGTAATAAAAACTATAATAATATCCCAATTATACGAAAATAACAGTGGTGCAGTATGTAATTATAGTGGTATAAGCTACTGTACATTAGATTAATCTATTGCATGATAAAAAGACCTTTACTAGAGCATGGCAACCAGCAGCAGTGCATGGACGTCTGACAACACAAAATGCCTTCGAAAAACACAAATGCAAGGCATTTCAATATTGCAAAAAATTTAAAACATTTGAATAAACAGATGCAATAGGTATAGAGGTGACAGATTTAATGCAATGTTATACAGTGTAAGATGTTAGCCAGAAAGCTGAAAGTCTATTTCTTCAGAAAATCTAATATTATAATATCTAATATTATAGATATTGATATGCAGGTAAACAACCTTGCTATCATATTGCATCTGTTGAGGCAAAATGTAGTTGCTTTGTAATAATAGCTATTTAAATGTCATTTTTTCCCCCAGCAAAAAGCCAAAGAAGCCCCAGAGAAGACAGATGAACAACAGACTCAAGCCTCTGACGCTGGCTTACGATGGCGATGCTGACATGTAGCCTAACCACGTTTGCTTTGTACTACAGATACTCGCCTCCTTTCACAGTCGGCCATCGGTACAAGCCTCGAACTAGGAGACTCGCACAAACTCACCGACTGCTTTTTATAAAACGCTAATGGAACCTCAGAGAGAGACTCGATCCATGTTTATATAATGTTTCTCCCCCCTCCTTTTTTACGTTCAAGTTTTTTTTTTTTGTTTTTTTACTTTATTTCACGAGAGCCTTCATAAACTCGTCAAAAATCTTCGTCGGGAAGTCTGCCTTCACCTCTCTGCCATTGACATCTTTCTGTAACATAGACTTGTCTTTCGGGAGGAAAGTTGCAGGACCCTTTTTAAATTGGGAAGTTTTTTGCTGAGAAAGCACAAAATATGCCCGTCTCCTGTTTAGTCGCCCTTCTTGTCAGCTCTTGCAATATGTACATTGTCTGTGGCTGTTGGGAGGTCGCATGTTCATACAACCAAAATACACCATTAACTTGCTAGTCGAATTTTCAGCCCTGAAACATTCTTTGATTTCTGTCGGATCCTTCTTCGCATCAATATTATGTGATCAGAAGGATTAAAGACTGCAGATTGAATGGGCTCACTAGCGCCCCCTATATAAACTCTGGCCTGCCTTTCCTCCTTTCTGTATTCAGGCTCCATTTTGCACTATATTAGTGCAGCATGAACATTTACTTATAGCATTGCCATAGAAAACTGCCTCTCGCAAAGCAAGATGATGTACAGTCTTGTGCTAGACACATTTCTTACAAAAAAAAAAAAAAAAAGCGAGAGAGAACAAAAGTAGCCCTTTTTCTTCTGATGGAACTCACTGGTGTTTGTTTATGCATACTTGTTTACTGGTTGCCTCCTGTTTGTGATAAAGGGGCCGTTGAAAAGATTTGTGTGGACTCCACAAACCCCCCTGTTGTATGTACAGTAGCAATCAGCCATGTGTTTGCTTTCTTTGCCTGATTGACTCTTGTATGTTTTAATGGTTCTTTTCACCTTAGAGATCCAGGTCGGTGAAGTTTTCCATGTGTTTCAGTCTTTCGTCTCTGATTCTAAGGGCTCTGTGTTCATAATTCGAGCGCTTTTAAAGCAGCACTATGCAACTTGTTCTGTGTGCAAAATGTGCAAAATGTATATAATGAGCGAGTACATCATGAATTCATCTTCCAAACCGCGTTTTTGTCTTATTCCGAATCACTACGGTACACTTATAATAAGCATTTATATTTGGACTATTGTAGCCTGGTCGGGTCGTCACCGCTACGGAGTAACACATACCTGCGTGAATCGCCATAGACATAAACTTAGAGCAGTAGCTACGGTTGGAATGTTCTTCAGCGGGATGTGCAGTTCTGTTTATTAACCGCTAGAGCGCCAAAAGTGACATAGTGCTGCTTTAACAGTATGGTGTTTGATTTACTGATCCTACTGTGTCTGTGCGAACCAGTTCTGTTTGTAGTTTATATAATGTGACTAACACAATAACAGCATGCAGTTTCATATCAACTAGATTCGGAAAAACTAATAGTCTGATATTGAAAGATTACTTTTGGAAACATTCATTTGACATTATTACATGTTACGAACCTGATTTGAGGTTGAACAAATCTCAGCTCATTAATTTAGATAGAAGAAATGCTGTAGTTTGTGCTGGGACATTATGTAAGGGATCATGTGCAGTGAGCTGGTTATTATAGCAAAATAAACCCTCATTTGTAATAGATCAGCATTTCTAATATAAATATTAGGAGACTTAAAAAAACAGAATGCAAGTTAAATTGAAGTACTAAAATTAAAACTGAAATAAAAAGTAAATTATGTAAAAATTAAGTAAAAATGGACCATAGGAAATAAAAGCTAATATGAATAAATAAATAATACAAAAATAACACTGGTGATAATTACCAGCTTGCTGTACACTGTCCTGCTTATTACACGGTTATTTGGCAAATCAATACACATTGGCATTCAAAATTGTTTTAAGTTTAAATTATAAAGCTTACGCTACAGAAAAAAAAAGTGTGTTACAAAATACAGTAAGTCGGCCTAGCAACAAGACAAACACTGCAACATTACAGTAATATTAATATTGAAGACATTTAATGTGATACATTAACTGAGACACAAGCCAGTTGAGATGTCAAGATGACTTGAAAGTAGTTGCCATGAATGATGATTGACTGCACTCTATAACCCAGCGCTGGGTTATATTTAACCCAGCATTTTTTAGAGTGTATTTGAGTATTCCAGAGAGCCGTGGAATAAGTGTTTGTAACGTTCATTTTTCAAAGGAAAATAGAATTTTCTTTTTTTTCTCTCTTTCTTTTTTCTTTTATTATTATTATTTTGTTTAAATGTATTTATTATTATCATGTTTTTTTTATTTTATTTTATTTTTATTTGATAAGAGTGCAGGTTATTTGTCACCATGCCATGAACCTGCATATAGATAATCGCACACCAACAGAATTGGTTATGAAGATATATGGATTCAGATATGACTGAAATGGTCATCAGTGTCACCGACCTTCTAAAAGTTGGGTAGAAAAGCACAAATAAGTAGGTTAGGGCCACTTTTTTCCCAAAACCATATCTACAGTGAATGAACTACGGGCGCTATTGATCTCTAAAGGCGTATCATTGAATTTGCTTTCAAATGCGAAATGTTTACTTCTAAGAAAAAAAGGTTAGTTACAAAATACAGAACAATCAGCCTAGCAACAAGACAACACTGCAACATTACAGTAATATTAAAACTGAAGACATTTAATGTGATACATTAACTGAGACACTAGATGGCGCCAGTTGCGTTTGACTTGAAAGTGACGCTAGGCTGATGTACAGTGTTGCCATAAATGATGATTGACCCGACTAGAGTATTCCAGAGAGCCGTGTAATAAGTGCTTGTAATGTTCGGTTTTCAAAGGAAAAGAGAAAAAAATTGTTTTTTCTTTTATTATTATTTTTTATTTAGTATTTTGATTTATTTATTCTTTTTTCTTCTTCTTTTTATTATTATTATTTATTTATTTATTTTATAAGGGTGCAAGTTTTTTGTCACCATGCCATGAACCTGCGTATAAGTAATCACACACCAACAGAATTGGTAATAAAGATATGTGGATTCAGATATGACTGAAATGGTCATCAGTGTCACCGACCTTCTAAAAGTTGGGTAGAAAAGCACAAATAAGTAGGTTAGGGCCACTTTTTTCCCAAAACCATATCTACAGTGAATGAACTACGGGCGCTATTGATCTCTAAAGGCGTATCATTGAATTTGCTTTCAAATGCGACGGGTGAAAGGAATGTTTACTTATGTGTTAATACTTGTTTTGTTAATTTGTAAATACATGAATGATCTTTTATTTAATAATTATTTCTTTATGATATATACATTTGTTAATTTCTTTTTTTTTTTTTACTACGCAAAGTGTTTATAAACCTCCCGAAGTGTGTCTGACAGTATGTGTGTGTAGAGGGAGTGTGTGTGTGTGTGTGTGTGTGTGTGTGTGTGTGTGTGTGTGAGAGAGAAAGAGAGAGAGTCTATTGTTACTGATCTTCGCTGGGGCGAACCAAGTTACTGTGTGAAAATGTTGCTTTCTTTTCCTACAGGTTGTTTATATGTGTCTGATGAATTGCTGATAATAAACAAGAAAATCATTGCTGTACGTGTAGTTCATTTTAGTTTTAATTTAATTTTAACTTGCCAGTTGCATTGTCAGCATCAAAAAATGCACATTTCTATGCTTTGAAAGATAACGTTGAAGATATTGTAATTGATTTCGTGCAGATGGAAGAGATTTTCTTTAAGAGCATCCCAGTTTTGACTCATTGTTTTTGAATGGATACATTCACTCAGCATTATGTGAAAAAAAAACTGAGATAACCTAAAAGGGGACATATGTTGAGTATGCATTATGATTGGATAAGATAGAAGCATCCGGGTTCGATTGGTATATAAATACGGAGTCAAAGTTTTTGTCTTTGTCGCATTGTGCAGCCAATCTGTATGACTGTTGACCTTTCTTACATGAAAGAAATTTTATTTTCTTCCTAAAATTAAAAAAGCAAAACTAATATTTAACAATTGGCTTCAAATGGATTTATCTTTTCTTGGTAGAGTTCTTTTAATAAAATCTGAAGGTCTGTCTCGCTTCATATACCCATCTTTTTCATTATTTGTCCATGATAATACCTGTAAACAAATTAACAGTTTATTGTTTAACTTTTTTTTTTGGAAAAATAAACATCAACATCTGAAGAAATGGGTTTTATGTGGTAAAAAAGCTGATGGAGGTTTTGACATGCTCATTTATTTATTTATTTATTTATTTGATGTCAATAATACTTTCAAAGTGAATTGGGTAAAGAATTGTGTCAATTCACCAGACTCTATTTGGTATTTTATCCCACACTATATCTATAAAAAAGTGGGAGGGCTTAAGTTTTTGTTAACCTGTAACGTCTCCGCTTCTAAGTTCCCCATAAAACGTTCTAAATTCCATGAACAGGCTCTACTTGCATGGAACCTTTTTTTTTTTTTTTTTCAAATTTTCTCCCCATGTAAAATGATACTAAAGTATTCTAGCAAAGAACAAGTTGATTTTTCTTAAGAAATGGCATGAAAAAGGTATTGATTATCTTTGTGATATGCTAGATCCACAAGTGAATGTTCATTCTTACCATGATTTCATGTCTACATGTAATTTTCCTGTTGTCCATAAGGAATTTCTAATTTCTTACAATGGTAAAAGCTATCCCGAATGGTCTTGTTCATTTAATGAGATGTCATTTATCATTTGAAAAGGTTGTAAAGAGTAAACAGATTTTTTTGGTTGAAGATAAGAGTATTAATGACCCAAAATGTAGTAATAAAATTATAAGGAAAACATTTTTTTGGAATTCCCTAATAGAAAATATTAACTGGGAAAAAAGCATAGCTCTTACCATACAGATTTTGTATCCCCAACAAAGTTAAAGAACTACATTTAAGAATTTTGTATAATATATACCCAACCGACAGATTACATCTAAATCTGTTAATGTTCATTGAATTGTCGTTTCTGTAAATACAGTTCTGAGTCAATTGTTCATCTTTTCCTCAGGTGTCCTCTTGTCAAAGTATTTTGGACTGACCTATCAAAATGTATTGCTTCAAAATCCAAATTAGACATTGATTTAACATTATGTGATATAATTTGTTATTTTTCTCATTGTAATACTAATATAGAACATATAGGAAATGCGTTTATTTTATTGGCAAAATATTTTATTCATAAATGTAAATTCTTCCTTGTCAGGGTTCTGTCACTTCGGTCTAGTTTATAATTTGTTATTTTTCTCATTGTAATACTAATATAGAACATATAGGAAATGCGTTTATTTTATTGGCAAAATATTTTATTCATAAATGTAAATTCTTCCTTGTCAGGGTTCTGTCACTTCAGTCTAGTTTATTCGTGGTTTTGTGACAGAGCCCTGACACTCCCGCCATGCAGTGTTGCCAACTTAGCAATTTTGTTGCTAAATTTAGCAACTTTTCAGACTACCCTAGCAACATTTTCTTCCAAAAGCACCTAGCAACAAATGTATCCATTTAAAAAAATTTATTTGGCAACTTTTAGCAACCTTTGATAAGTGACAATAAAAAGGCACACATTTTCCATCTAAATTTCACAAAAAGAGACATTACATTATCCACTGTAACCCGAAAACACAATGCGTAATTTAAAATGCAAGTAAAAAACCAATACGGAAAATTATTTCATATTAACATAGTAGATCGTGCCCTATTTTTACAGACTTTTCTTAAGAGTGTAGCATACTAACTAACTACTAATACACTGCTTAAAGCATAATTGTTGAGAATGTGTAGTATTACTAGTTTACTAGCTATTCATTTTTTTTTTTTTAATTGTAATCATTCAAAAATGTGTAAGTGTTCAATAATTCAATGCATTTAAAAAATACAGTTATTTATATTTAATTATATTATGCACATTATTTTACAAACAAATCTAAATGAACATATATAAAATATATATTTTTTTGCTGAGATTTGATGTTGTGACAATTTTGCGTCGTGATTACGCAATGACGTCATCGCACAATGACATCATAACGTCATTTAGCAACTTTTAGCAACAAATCGACCTGTCATTATATATATAAAATGTCAAATCAAACCTTCTACAATCTTTTACTAGTTTGATCGTTGTTGATTTATACCACTAGATGTCGCTACAAGACAGTGTCTAAATTGTTGCAATGACTGACAAGCAGATTTGTTTTTCCACCAACGTAGAAATGTTTGGTGATAAATTAAAGTACTCCAGAACTAATATAATCGTACTATAACTTAAAATACTCAAAGCCTTAAATGTTTTATTTACGACATATTATTTCCACTGACAAAAAGCACATAATTCAGCTGTATGATTTGGTACAGTAAAATTGCACATAATCAGAGGAAAGATTCAGAAGACCTCACTGTTGGAGGTCGTCTCATAGAGTTGGACATAAAGTGACAGTGCCCACAGTGTAGGCTGTTCTTTTGTTTTAAAAGTAGAGTCATCCCACTGCCCTTAGCTTCTTAAAGTCATATCTGGCTTTAATCAACAGGGTCACAATGCTCCTATGATTATAATCATGGCTTGAGGCCTCTGGGAGTCTTCAGTCCTCATTACCCAATCAGTAATTATCACAATCATGTCTCTTGGCCCTCATTCCAATTGAATTCCACAGCTAAAAGCAGGAAGCCTCACACACTGACCTAATCAATTAAGTCCCAGTGCAAGGCTACTTCAATCCGATGACTTTGTCCCAACCTCTGAGTTATCAAGATGGTGTGCAAATTTGATTAAGCAGAATCAACATCAGGTACAGGAAAGGATTCCCAGAATATCAGCTCCAAAGTGAAGGAAGGAAGTTCGCTTTTGGTCCAACATTGTGGAACAGGGATAATCTTCAGCAGATAAATCAAGCTCCGACTCCATTACACCATTAAGTTGCACTATAGGGAGTCTTAAAACTACAGCTCATGATTGATTTGAGGACGCTGCGATCATGTGCCAAATGTTCAAATGCTGTGGTGAAGCTTAAAGAGACAGTTCACCCAAAAATGAAGATTTTTGATTTACTCACCCTCATGTCATTACAAACCTGTATGACTTTCCTTCTTCTACAGAAGATATTTTGAAGAATGTCTCATTTTTTTGTCTAATGACCCCACTGACTTTCAGTGTATGTACAAAAACATTCTTCAGAATACGTTCTTTGTGGAACCCTAAAGGGACATGGTGATGGTTATAAAATTAGATTAGAGGAAAACTGTTTCAATGGTTTTTGCATTCTCTTCAAACCTTCAATGCTATTGCATTCCCCAAAAAACTTTGCATTTACTTGCGAAACTGTTGTGATATATATATATATATGATAAAACTTTTTGAAAAAAAAAAAAAACATTTCAGTGCTTTTATGATGCAAAATTTCATGGGGGGGATGCAATAGTTTTGCGAAAGAACACCGATGTTTTACTGGTGAACGTAACACTTTTGTGAGAGGAATATAATCTCATATTTCTTCCATCACCGTGTGAGGAGCTTGGTTGTTCCTATCTGTTGGGCAGAATAAATTAAATTCAAGCAGGTTTGAAATGGGGGTGAGGATGAACATTTTTGGGTGAACTATCCCTTTAAGAAAGACTGCAGAGATAAAAGTAAAACTTAATTAAAATTTATTTTGTTTCTCATGAAAGTTCTTGAAACTTCATCAAAAGGCCCCTGCAGATGAAATGAAAAACTCGAGAGCATTTAAAAAAAAAACAAAAAAAAAACACATTTGCCGTCTGCAGCAGTGAGACATTTGTTATTGTTTAAAGAGTCGAGTTTGCAATTCACAATAATCGGAGTCATCAACCCTCCTGATTGTGTACGGCGTTCTGAAGTGCGCTGAGATGCAGATGCAGTGGACTTTGTGTACGAGTATTAGTCTGGCCGTGTCTTCGAGTCCAGCCGTCAGTTTAATTGCCATGCGGAAGCACTTGATGCGCGCCAGCTGCATCCTGCGACCGGTGCTCTGATCCCGCATTTGTCTCTGTCAGTGCCTTCGGGGTCCGCCCGCTCCAGCACTCATATGAGCCATGCTGGCAGCCACCACCAGAACTGCACCAACTTAGCTCGACATGAAAAGTCTCTCTCTCTCTCTCTCTCTCTCTCTCTGTGTGTGTTTCTCACAAACGCACACGCACCCTTCAAATCAGTACCGCAGCTTTCGGGATGAATATACTGTATTTGTAATGTATAAGAAGGCACGAACGACAGTTTGTGGCATAAGATAACACCTGGCCGCTGGCACCTGGCATAAGAGCTCCTGAGTTTGGCCTAATTGAAAGCCTCCCTATTGTGTCACCACAGCCCCTATGGGGTCTGCTCCCTTCTCTCTGAAACATCTGCCAACACAATCAGGCATTCATACATGCCAGCTGAGCCATGCCACAGCAGTGTATTGCCAGCGTCACTCAGCTGGCTCAATCTTCCTCTTCCTCTTTTTCTTTATCTGTCTTTCCCTGTCTTTATCCCTCGCTTCTTTTCCACTGAACCGTTCGGAAATGGAGGTCTCTACCCTATAATCTGCTGTTCTCTGTGGTAGATTACATGGTTTGAGTGAATGTGAATGAGAGTGAGGGAGGACCAAAGGTAGGCTGTGTTAAATTAAACCCACTTGACCTCGTGATTAGAAGGAAGGGAGAGTATGTATTGTGAGCAGGTGTCCCATCTGACAGATTTGACCATCAAATTATCATGTGTTAACCCCTCTGTCTGTATGTATGTTCATATCAAACTTAAAATATTTAAAATGTATCTGTTGTTGTGTTGAGACAACCCAACCTATGGATACCCATTTCCACACTGAGAGTAGAAAAAGAGTACAAAATAAAACTGGATTTTGTGAGATAATGTTTAATATAATAAATGAAGCTGCATTAGATATGAAGTCACATTGTGAGATGTAAAGTTATGTTGCGAGAATGTGTTGCAATAAAATTGCAATTGTTAGCCCCCCACCCTCTCTGAGCTTCTCTCCGGATGTAGTACGGCACGCGTGGCTCTCAGCGCGCGATATAAAGCCACCGCTGAGTGACAGCGCGCGCGTGAAAAGCCTCTGTCCTTGTTTCTAAGAGGACTTACGCCGCAGTCACTCCAGGCAGCAAGACCAGCGACCATCTCCCATGACATCTTAATCAAATATGACTGTGCTTCACTCCTTGAATGGATTAATGCCTATGTAACCGTTCATTTGCTCTCCCTCTCTTATCTGCGTCCAAGTTTAAAGCCTATTCTGTGGTCATGGGGTCTATAGTGTCATTTTTGCCTAGGCTAAAGGTCTAAAGCGGATACCGAGTGGATCTATGTTCCTTACAGACAAAAGAAACAGCGCAGGGAAATTAGTGGAAGTTTGAGATAAGGGAGGATGCGGGCGACGTGTTGGTGTGCCGTGTTTCTCCTCACTCCGGCTGTCTACCTGGTAAGTCTCTATCTCTCTTTTTATTTTTGTATTTTTTTTTACCTGTGTCACTCGTTTACATACACTCGTTTACAATATGCTCGTATGTTTACGTGTGGAATTGTGCCACTTCAGAATGACAGTAGCCTAGTGTTGTAGCAGTATTCGATGCTTTTCACTTTATAACTATGGTTTCAGGTTCGTAAAATAATTATTTAAAAAATATGCCTTCATTTTTGTAATATAGAACCTTTTAAACGCGTTGTAGGTTGTATATGGAAATGTTCAGACCGCAGGAGGTTACTAAATATGATTTTATTTCTAAAAGCGCGTCTCCACGCAGACAAAACCTTCCTCTGTGTCTCGCATCGACACCCAGTTGCGAGAGTTGCGTTTCAGTGTTCGGCCTCACGGGGGCGCCAAAACAAATGAAAATGGGTGCGTGAATGAAGCGGCAGTGACAGTCCTGCACCCTGATGAGAGTCTCTTTGATTTCCACTATTCAATACACACTCAAGCTATGTCTACAACAAACTACATTCTGCAAATTGGCTAATCACTTTATTGGAAATAGATCAAGAAAAGAAAATAGACTACGACTTAATTAAATAGCGTACTGAGAACACATAGTTAAATTGGATGAAATCTTATATTACATTTTAAATGTATGTAAATTACAATCACTACAACGCTGTTATATGCTTTACATTTTAATATTGCCCTTGTTTAATAATGTGAAAATATGATGTGTTTGTTTATTATTATTATTATTATTATTATAGTTTTGTAAAATATTATTAATAATAATAATAATAATAATTTTGTTATATCATTAATCATGATTATCTATTTTTTCCCATCTACATTTTAAAGGGTTTAGAGATGCCGTGCGCGCACACGCTGATGCACGCACACACACAAAAATATTTTTTTAAACATCCCTTAAATTAAGAAAATATTATAATTAGGCGTCTACGTCAAATATCGGATTGTTTTAAAATGTTTTATACCTGTACCAGGCACTGTTCTAATTTGTTTATATTTCGTCAAAATGGCCCATTTAACACAAAAAAGGTTGATTCATTGCTTAAATTAGTTTTAAAACAATAAATTAACTGCAATTCTCCACATAACATACGCATAACTTTGGTCTTTGTCAGTGTACTGTTTAATTTGAGTCATTTTAGAAGTAGTTACACGACATGAATTGTCTCTCGCCATTATTAGTATGCCCAGACGATTTATTTCATTGCAATTAACAAAATGCATATCATTTAAACTTCTTTGTATTTTTTTTATTTGTCTGAACATTTAAAAAAAAAAAGGATTTAAAACTGAACATTTGAGATTTAAAAACGAGTTTTATCTTTATAAATGTGCCATAGTCATGTTTGAAAGGCGCATTTATTTTTCATTTGATCAGATTGTGTCCATTCACCCATCAAATGACAGTAGTCTCCATGTGGTTTGTTCATACTTTCCCGCGTGTTGTATTTTATAGAGGCCAAACAACAGTTTCAGACACTGAATTGTATGAAGTGTGAGTCTTCTCGTGTCCATAAGGCAGTTCAGGACCATGGACAGCGCAGCCCGACCTCTACCGCTTAGCATTCACACTCACTCTGCTTTATACAGCCTATCTGTATCTGGACTTTTTATTTTATTTATGTATTTGTCATTTGTTAAATTACATTTTGTTCACGTTAGATATGTGCTGTTTACTATAACACGGAGTGGTTGGTATATGATTTTACCACTTAAGTAACAGGTTCACGTTCTCTTAATGTCTTCAAAACATAAAAACATGTAGGCTACCTTTATGTTGCATCTACTTCAACTGTGTTTTACAGACCACACACACAATGTGTATTTGTATGTTCTTATAGACTGCAGGTATATTATCTTGCGTGTTGTGTGAAGGAATAGCGGGATTATTTCAATACCATCGCGTTTACCCATTTGAAATTCCATTTCGGTTGTTCTTTTCTGTAACGAAATATTAGAACAACTCTCTAAAACATCAGACATAATCACCGGATGTCCAAAAAATGTGACAATTTAAGAAAAAAATTGAAGACCGTGGCTATGGATTTCCATAGGCCTGTCAGCTGCGAGGCCTGTCCGCACCTTCGAGTATTAGAGTTGAACTTGGCTGCTGTATTTCTTGTTTAAGCCTCTTGTGTGTGTCAGTTCGTCCTGACCCTGATAACAGCAGAAGAGCGCAGCGCGTGTGAGCGAACGAGCAGCTGTACGACACCAGCCAATTAAACAAGCGCGTCTTTACTCTTTACATATGTTTATACAACCACATTTATTTTATTATCCTAGTATTTTTTTCTGGTAAAAAAAACGTACACTGTAAAACAAATAAATAAATGAATGCATTTACCGTAAAACAGGTTGTTGCCTTAAATTTATTGTACAAAAAATGCATATAGGCCTACGATATTTTACAGTTCTTAGCTAGCTTATATACAGGTGCGTTCAAAATTATATAATGGTAATGTGCTAAACTATTTGAGTTGTTAATAATACAGATGCACAGGTCACGTGATAACTTAAATTTAAATAATTGGTCTCTCCAGCAATTGCGATAACACAACACAAACACGAAACCTCATTAGAGTAACACACATAGCCCTAAAATAATGCAATGGATATTAACTAAACAACATACAACACTCCAATGTACATAATTAAAAAAAGAAAAATAAACTAAGTTTTTAAATAATGACATTTGATTTATACTCAAAACTAATTGCTTTAAATATGAAATTAGTTTTCTTTACAAATTATAAGGTAGTTCATACTTCTACTACATGTTTAAAGTATTTTACAGTAAGACTACATTTATTGTCTCTTTATAATATATTTTCTTGAACATATTTGGTGATGTAACTTGCTTTCAGTTAATTAGCCATTTTTAGTGTAGCATTTTAAATTTTTTTCCTTTAAAATTACAAAAATAAAGTGCATCTCAATTAAATATTTGAGTTGATTAGCACGGTGTGATACATTGATCAAACTTTTAGCATCTAGCATTGCACCGATTGGGCCATACATATACTTAAAACACCACATTGTCTAGAAAGAAGTTGCAGCTTTTGGAAACTACACACATGAATCATCCAGACGTGCTCTTCTAAGTGCACTTTACATTTCCAGGACAACTGCATATATACATTGTGCTCTGGAACTCTATGGATGCACAAATTCATTATTTTCACAAGCCGCACAGATGTACCTTGTTATTAATACACTTGAGGATGGAACGATCCTCAGTTGGCTCAGCTGCTTTTAACCCTGATGAGTGTGTTGTAGAAGCTGCTCAGCCAGCTAAATCCATTTAAGACTTCAGTGGAAAGCTAGCATGAGCTAAACCTGTTGTGTCTAATGATCGGCGGAGAGATGCCGTGAAATGGTTCAAGTAAAAATCCTCAGCCCTTAGTCCATTAAACCTCACCTATTCTTCAGAAACCACTAGAACACTCCGTCTCCCAATGGAGACATTTTGACACGCTGCCTGTCAGTCTCTTTAAACGGGTTAAACAAAAACGGCCTTTAATCACCCTCTTGAGGTCCTTAAATTAATATGAACTTAAAGGCACAATATGTAATTTTTCGCCGCTAGAGGGTGCGTATTCAAAATACACAAAGAAACAAAGGCGTAGTTTGAGGACGCCGTGACTGAGTGTGGAATCATGGGAGTTGTGGTCTTCATCTCCACAGCCGATGCAATCCGACGGGACTCGGGCAGAAATCATGTTTATGGATGAGCTAATGATTTATTAACGTAGTAGAATGAAGCAGGGTGAGGCTGAAAGCCGTCGAAGCGAAACGAGGCTGCTGAATGAGCGTGACACACGGCTCGAAAGCAGCGGAGCTTTTATTATGCCACAGTCGACCGCTTCTGCTCCTTTCGGTCGTGCGTATGTGGGGTAAAGCAGTGCTGTTTTATCATACTAGATACATTTGAAAGTTCTGTTATAATGCTACTCTGTGCGGTCGTCACCTGTCTAATAAAACGCATAACAACATATTAAAGTGTATTTGGTGTTTCCATGTTTTCTGCAAAACAAAAACGGAAATCTAGGGGTTATGACGTCACTGGCAGGCGACACAATGACACTATGGACACGGTCCGTTACACTAGTTAAAATTGCTTATTTCTCTGGATTTAAACATTCTTCGAAACATTTGGGATAATGTAAGCACACAAGTCAGCAAAATATATAACACTGTTCTAGTGGTTTTTCAATATTTTAATAAAAAAATCGTACATATTGCGCCTTTAAGTGATACAATCAAGATTGTCCTGTTATGATAAAACATAGGCTAACAAATGTTAGCACTCGACTGAAGTGCGACCTATCTTATGAACGCAGCTTCTCTGTTCTAGTTCATTGCATTAAAATGCATTACAATTGGGTTCTCGGTTGAATCTGAAATAAGGAGTGTGTGTCTGTTTTGATATATATTTTTGTCAATGTTTCCCCTTCAGGATAGGCTTTGATTTTTGGGTGGTGATTTAGTGTCAGTGAAGTGTGTTAAGGCTGAGTGATGTTAGGCTCTGAAGCGATGAAGAGGAGCGGTGGGGTCTGTGAGAGGGAGGAGAGAGAGGGAGCCCAGGGCTGTATAGTTAGTGTGCAAAGCAATGTAATCTGCCCTCCTTCCATGGCACACACATATCTGCTGTTTAATAGACGTGTGTTCACATCAGTGCCACAGTCCATTTATCCCAACCGAGTTTCATGAAGTGCCTCCGTATTGCAGTTAAGGATATCTGCATTATGTTAATGCACCTCTGTAGGTAAATGGTACCATCAGCAGTTCTGAACCAGATAACTGAAGAAACAGGACTTTCTGAAGACATTGTGCAGTAATCACTGCTGAGATGAGCCGAACATGCTACAGAATGCAACCAGTACTGCATGATTGACCCTTTTGGCATTCATAACATGATTTCGAATGACCTTTGACTCTTGAGAGTAGTGCTGAGCTTTGTATGAGGGTGTTTATTT